GCGGTGTTTGCCGAGCGTCGGATAGAAAATCAACCTTGTACATACCGCGTAGACATTATGCATCACTTTCTGTAAACCGTGACACACACGTACACACATCAGATCACCCACGAATGCTGCGATTACGACACACGATTAACTAACCTTTACCGGAACACACTGTTTTTCCTTCATCGAGTTTTCAACGACGGTATACTCCCACTAAGGAATTCGCGAGGAAGCGCGATTTTTCGCAACTCAGCGAAAATCTCCCGAAATTAGTCGAATGGCAAAAAGCTCGGAATGGCACCGGTGTCCCCGCTGTATCTATACGAATTTGGAAATCCGCGCGCGAAAATATGAAACGTGGAAAGGTGAAACAAGGGCAAAGATGAAAGACAAGAAAGAAATCGTAGGTAAATAATAGCCTGATCCCAAAACACTCGTTGAACACTCGTCTAATCGCAACAGAGCCAGTCTTAATGTCTTGTAAAGTAAACGGAGCAAAACGTTAGAAAACCGTGGACGCTTTCGCGCAGGCGTGTTTCGAACGGCGCGGCGTATCGTTTAAATCTCGCCTGCCGGAAGCTTATTTCTTAGGTAGCCCTGTGTATAGAGACGCTAAGTTTCCAGTGTATCGATATGTACGGTGTATTTCCGACGCGCAGATCGATCGATTCACGGTCGACCGTCGACACCTCCGCTAAACGTAGCCGATGTTAAGTTTCATTTCTCTCTCTCTCCCATTTTCTTTCTTCCCCTCTCTCTCTTTCTCTATTTCTCTTTCTCTTTCTCTTCTATCTCTCATCTCGTCCCTTTCTTGTAATCGCTCGTCAAGTACAATGCAAGTGTAACACTTTTGCACGCGTTAAGAGTTAATGATCTTCGTACCTTTTCAAGACCAGACGCGATGAGTCTGGCCGCGACTCTCTATATACATTCTACCCTTGTGTCCCTGCCCTTGTCCGCTAGCCCTACCTCTCCTTGTTTCAAGCCCTATTTCGTTGAGCGGCATATCTCGTAGAATTAAGAGACGTTTGTACGGGCTGAGACGCGGCCGAAGGTCCATTCCCACGCGCGACTCCTCAAAACGAGCAGACAGCTCATGCAGATTCTTTCTCTGTTTCTGTCGCGTTAAGGAAGAACGATAGATCTCGAGACGGGCGATCGATGCATTCCCGTGTAGCGAACACGCTACCGGTCAGGTATACGTCGAGATCTGGACCCCAGGTTGTCCTCGCTTCTTAGACGTAACACTTTCGCGTAAGCTCGAGCAGAAAGATCGTACGTAAAGCTGACGGAACACATATACGAATACGTTACACTACAATATACCATACATGAACAGACGTTGTAGATGAACACAGTTACACACGCATACACACACGGACACAGACACACACACACACGCACAGACAGACACACGCACTCAGAAACACACAGCTACGAACGTGAAACACATGGACAACGTATACAACGTTACAGTACATACACAGACGCAAACAGGTACACGCGTACACACAAACGCGCGCGCGCATATACGTTTCGTAACGAAGTATACAGTCTTAGCGCAGTGTTTCATATAGTTAGGTAGGAAACGTCAAGAGAATATTTTTTATATTCCACATGGATTTTACAGTTATATATTATCGTTTCGTATCGAAAGGGAGGAGTTTAAAGGCGCGTCCAAAGCGTTACATAGATATATATTATAAATATGAGACCTCTCGATATACGTGTCGCCATTTATTGTTTACACCGCGATGATTATATATCGATTATCGGTCATTCTTATGGCGGTAGGCGCTGTCGTTTATATATATATATACATATAAATATATCTATATATATATAGATAATTATGAGGCGGCGCAGGGGGCACGCGCGCGCTCACGCGCCGTGTGCACGCGTCGCTAATTATCTCGTTGACGATTATTAATAATCGCGAAGCCGCTACGAGCAAATCGAGCAAAACGGCGTGTCGCGTTCGATCGTAACTCGCGGGGAGGGGGAGGCCCTTTGAGTTCGTCCACGGTAAGCCCTACGTCCACGTGCGAGCGAGAATCACCGGCCCTTTTCTCCAACCAGGCAGCCATTCTCTATTTTACTCTCTTTACACCGGCCGGTTGCTTGCATCTTCTTCTGATTTCGTTTCGAAAGCTTTTCCTTTTTCCACCCGTTTCGCGAAAGAACGATGCGGGAGAGCTCGTTGGAGGAATACAAGCGGGATCGATCATCAAAACGAAACACCTGTATACAAAATCTGTACCTTTTTACATCAAACACATACATACACATACACACGCAGATATATATATATATATATGTATTCAACAAATACGCCTACGGTTTATTCATAAACGACACGAAAAATGATAGACACACACACACACACATACACACGCGGATACACATATTACAATCGTACATCGATAGACCAATTTTTCGTCGAAAGACACAATTACGAATACGTTAGACCAATGTATCGCATACGAGATATATCGATACGCTTCAATGGGGCAGTTGAACAGTTGTAACGCGTGTATCATAGAAATTGGACGCGCGAGAGACGCGGGATACGCGAATTTGTATAGAGTTGATGTACGTAATCGTAGCGCGACTAGAAATAGGTATCGCTGGAGTTTTAAATCGTGTTTTTAAATCGAGTTTTTAAATCGTGCAATTAGTAACGTTACTTCTGTTGATCACTTGGTTTACGGAATTAACGGGCAAGAAGGATTCTCCACGTCGACGATCTACGATCCTTCCGAGCTAAACGGATTCTCGTAGCTTGTAAAGGTCGTATCTCATGGACGTGAGGTCGGTGTTCGCCCGATGGATCGGGAATACGTGACTTGGGAAGGCCGCGTGCACCAACCAAACATCTGCTCGATGATTGTTACTTATAATTGTAGACCGACTACAGATGGATATTTATCGGCGATCGCTCGCCGTTCATTTCGACCGCGATCGATCTTCCGCATTTAAGGTAGGATTTCCTCTACTGTCTTTTTTTAATCCTATCTAACGTTTTTCGTATTTTAATCGAACGAAGAATAACGGAGATGATATAAAAGAACGTCTTTTCGAATGTTTTTTTAAATGATCGGATATTTCCACCCTTTCGGGATCAATGGTCGGATACATGGCAAAAGCAACTTTTAGGAAGGTTCTCATATGAATCGAAGATTGCCATGAATTTGAAAATTCATCGATTCCATGTTACTAGAGCTATAACTAAGTGTGTATTTTACCAAAAGTAATTTTTTAGATGCTCTTCTCCTCAATTTTAATGGTTTCTATCATTAAATTATTGCGGTGACTTTTGAAAAAGAAGATACATCTGTAAATGGTTACCTAAGAAAGGCGGTATAAGCATCTTTGACGAAAAATTACTTCCAAACAATCTTCGACTGTCATATTCGCATTAACGAAACATCCAAAGAACGAAATGCGCTGTAACGATTCTCGTAAAAATGTATATATGGTATTATTTGATTCGTCTAATGTATTCATCGGAGTGACAGTTCGCGAGAACTGCCATCCGCTACAACTATAATTTGAAACGTACGAGTCTAACGCCTGATAGGAAATTCCATCTTAAATTTAGATTATCGAGATTTCGATTTTATTAAACGACAACAGTCGTGCACTGCGATCGATCGTCGATAAAACTCGAGATTTTTATAGCATTCGGGTAAAAATGGTTGGTACACGCGTTCTTGGCGTTAGCGGAAACGGCTGTAAACGCAGTGAACGGTCGAGATCGAAGCTTGAGCGAGAAAAAAGACATACTTTGGGCATTCTTTTGAGTCGCGTTCGAGCGAATTGCGAGTGAATGAGAGTGGCGAGTACGGAACAAATCGCAAGTACGTGGTTCGCAGCTTTGAAACATGTGATACGTCAGCCGGCAGGATTGACTTCCGGTTATCGGGAACGTTCGAGAGATGTAGAGCGAAGAACATGGTTACGAAAGAACAAAGCGAGTGACGCGTATCGCTGGTAGTGGATTCGCGGGCTGACGCATTTTTTAAAGATTCTTTGAAGTAGGACGCTCTTTTGTTGAAGGTTGATTGTTATCAAAATGGTTGTGAGGTTATAATGTTTGAAATGTGTTAACGATGCGACGTGAAAGTTCGATCGACCGATTGCCACGACTTCCGGAAACGAGCCGATCGTGACTAAACAACGATTCCAAAAATGTAATTCACTCGCGTTCCGTGAAGTTGTGTCAATCGTCTCGCCGAATAGCGGACGAGGAGGCGAATTGGAAGAACGTGCGCTTCCGCGTGAAACCTTCTTTTCCATAATTTTCTACTCTGTTCTTCCTTTTTCTTTTTTTAACTCGTCAACATTCCTTCTGATCCAAGTTGCACTTTCTCTACATTAGCGATAACTTGTTCCGTTAAGCATAGCGCGAACGAATGGTCAGTCGACTGTATATATAGCATTTATTTTCATAGCATTTAAACCGAATTCGATCGGTGGAAGCGCACGTGTCCTTCGACGTTGTAAAATTCGTCTCTGAGAAAGCGTGCAACTGGCATTACCCCGCATACAGTCTGGTTCGTGTTGTGAGTCCAGTTTACGTCAAGTCGGCGCGGTCTTCTCGCGTAATCTTTCCAAATTAATCCTCGAAATAACGTTTTAAGATAAGAAAAGCAAGAGAGGAAGCGAGAAAGAAAATCGTAGAACGCGCAAAGAGCGCGAAACGAGCAACAGTTCTCACGGCAAGACTTCGTCGAATTGTCGTAACGGATGGCCAGACTAATAGAAAAATGTGCGACTGATATAAACCAGTATTCGTGCGAGAAAATGTAAAATAAAATTCGCGTAATCTAGCCTTAATGAGAAAGATTAAATTAGGTATAATAGAGGCGGTACCGCGAAGGATGGTCCCGCGTCGAAATTATCTCGATTGGCTGTAAAATATTGTCGTGGAAAGTGGGCCGTGAAGACGACGTCGAAACAAATGCATCCTTGAGTTCCAAGAAAAAAAAAAAAAAAAAAAAGGCAGGAAATTTCTCTGGAGGACGTCGTCCAACACGTTCCTCTTTACGCGGCGATGTATCTAGTGAGAATAATGTTACTAGGTAACTTAAGCGTATTTTAAAAGAAAAAAGAAAAGAAGCATAACGAAATGCCAGTTGTAAAGAGTTTTTCTTTTCGAAAAGGAAGAAAAAAGGAAAATATATCAGTGGTAGAAGTGCGGGAAGACATGTTCGATAAAATGGGAACATGTCTCGAGCGACGCGTCCATTCATTGCCGGGAAACGAAACTAAATAAATGCATCCTTGAGTTCCAAAAAAAAAAAAAAAAAAAAAAAGGCAGGAAATTTCTCTGGAGGACGTCGTCCAACACGTTCCTCTTTACGCGGCGATGTATCTAGTGAGAATAATGTTACTAGGTAACTTAAGCGTATTTTAAAAGAAAAAAGAAAAGAAGCATAACGAAATGCCAGTTGTAAAGAGTTTTTCTTTTCGAAAAGGAAGAAAAAAGGAAAATATATCAGTGGTAGAAGTGCGGGAAGACATGTTCGATAAAATGGGAACATGTCTCGAGCGACGCGTCCATTCATTGCCGGGAAACGAAACTAAATGCGAATTGGCAATACGAGGAAGAAATTGAAAATTGATAGAACAGAAAGATACAAAATTTTCGTTTGGAACGAAACGCAGCTACGATGTCGGGGTAGTAGAAAGTTTCCGAAACGGCAGATCACATTTGGTCGCGACATTGGTACGATCGGTTTTTCGTTTTTCTTTCTTTTGCTTATTTCGGACCGCCCGAAGGGAACGATCACGAGTTCCGCGAAACATGAAAATAGAAAGAACTAAGGTGATAGAGAGTGATAAGGATAAGAAAAAAGAAAAAAAGAGAAATATTAAAGTACCGCGAAAGGAAGGATAAAAAGGCAGAAGGCGATTTAAAAAATGGGCAAATGGAACATTGTCATGTGTATACGCGATTATAAATTTTTTGAGAAACGACAGCTTTACCGGTAGTTAACAATAGTTTTTCGCAACTTGGGCACACGTAACGAACACCTTACATGACACACAGAGACACTTACTTACATACACGCATTACATGTAAAGCGATCCATGCGAAACAAAAAAAAAAAAAATTGTACGAATATAATGTTTGCAGTTAGGTGGGACCAAAAACGACTTTATATCTGTATGTGCATATCCAAGCAACGTGTAATTTAATTATGAATTAATTAATTATCCATTATTAATGGCTAGGTAAAGAAAAAAAGATCCATTGATAGCGATCAAGGACGATGACGAATCATTAACCAATAATTAGATTATTAAGTTTGTTTATTGATGCATTATTATACGATATAATTATTATTATTATTATTATTAACTTTATTGTCTTTATGATTATTATTATTTTATCATTATTATTATTATTATTATTATTATTTTATTTTATTTTATTTTATTTTATTTTATTACGATAATTATATAATGACGACGATAATATTATTATTATTATTTAAATGACGTTTTAAGACATGATTATTTAGATACCGAATAGAGCAGTACGTATCATTAATTATTATTAATTATTTTTAATTATTATTATTATTATGAGATATTTTGTTGTATTATTTTCAATAAAATCGATTGAAAATATTTAATTTCCACGGTTTTATTTTTCGTTTGCACTTCACCAGACGTTTTTACGTTTCTGCCAGTGATTTCCTCTTTCTTTCAAATATTGCACACTTTCGAAACTGCATTTACACGCGTGTACACGAAGCTCGATATATGTAAGTACACAATACCATTATTTTCTGCGAAAACGAAAGAACATATTTATCCAAGTGAATATCTAAATTGAAGAAAAAATAAGGAAAGAAAGACTCGAAATCACAGCTCCTCGCTTATTCCTACCGGTTTCTTCTTTCGTACTTCTGTCTGGTCGGTCGTTTCTTTATTTTCTTGTATATTTTTCATTTTTCGTTTTCATTCGATAAAAATTTAATTGGCTGCGTCTGTATACGATTTTCACTTCACAAAACCCCTCCGAGAGCACCTCCCTCTTAAGCTCCTTTCTCTTCTCTCTGTATCATCTCTCCTCTCTCCCTCTTACTCTCACGTATCTTCGGATGATTATCGAGACTCGGGAAGAACGGGGGAAGACGGAACGAACGATTGAAGCAGCACTATATCTAGCGTAGAGTTAAACAAAGAGAAACAATTTTGAACGGTAACAAGAAGGACGAAAAAAAAAAAAAGAAGGGAAACGCTAGAGACGAAGAGGTGAAAGGGATAATTATAATCGATCGATATGAAGTTACATAAGATGCGATCGAAAACCGCGAAAATTCGTGACAAAAAGAAAGATACGCAAGGAAAGAAAATGGAAGCTTTGTTAGGTTAGGAAGTTGCAGGAGGAACGCGTGGAAGCAAACATACAAAAGAAAAAAGAAAAAAAAAAAAAAGGAACAAATACGAACGAACATGAATAAAATACGGAAAACGACAACAAGAGTAACAGAAGAACCACAACCAATGTGAACAAAAATAAATGAAGAAGAAGAAAACAGAGAGAGAAACAAAAAGGAAAATAGTTGTAAAAGCCACACACATACGCGTACACACATACACACACAAATGTACTAAGTAAGTTCATACTGCGTATTGCCTTTCTGACTTCGGTGTGAAAATATATAAATAAAAAAAAAAAAATGTCAGTCGCGCCGGGACCCGGGGATTTTCGAGCGACCGAAATATAATATAATAAGTATTTAATGGTGTCCCGATGGGGCGCGTTATTGGTCGCGTTTTCCGTTTCCCTGGCTTCTCCGTTTTAGCTTTCCGTTTTCTTTCTCGGGAAAATCGGAGAGGGAGAAGGAACGAACGGGGGAAGAAACGTTCTTCTTTCTTTTTTTTTCTCTCGCCCACTTCACCTCGGTCTTCCCATCTTTCGATCTCTTTCTCGAGTGTTGGTCGTCGATCAAACCGAGGCTATCCAATCCGAGAACTATCGAGCGAAACGGAAGCCGCGACAGGGCGCGCTCGAAAGAACAAAAGAAATCTTTTTTCACGGATCCGCTGAAAGATGTCCCAGGACGCCCAAGTCCCCGTGTCTCCGCCGGCTGTGTCTGTTTCATGTTTTTCAATATTTGTAATTTATCGATAAAATTATAAAAGGTATCGATAACAGTCTAAAGTGTGCGCTATACTCTACATAATATTATTATATATAAAGTATAAAAGTATACATTATATATATATATTATATATATATACATATATATTATATATGAGAAGTATAATATATATATATTATACACACATTGGGATTGGTGAGAATATACGGTTTTTTCGCTTTGGAGTGTTATTTTCTGAAAATATTGAACAAAATATGGAAAAAAAAATTAAAAAATAAAATCAATGAATAAAAAACGAACGAACCGTTCTACTCTGACTATTCTTTTATTACAATCTATCCCGAAATCTTGCCGACGATCGCCTTCTAGATTCGATTCGGTCTCAACGAGCATCGATTGCCCTGTGTCATCGAAGATGTTCCCTGTCATCGTTTAAGAAGATTCGCCGGTAAACGAGAATAGAAATGTCGAACTTAAGAACGAATTTAATCAAGGAAAATGGAGGGGCCCGATCGATTAAGGTTTCTAATCCGAACGTTTATTTATATCTATACGTCACATTTCGTTCACTGGTTAACGGAAACTTGATTTCAACGACGAATTCACGAAATTCAAATTGCTTGTTAATTACAGCGAACCGAAACGGAGTCGATCGACGAATTCAATGTTTGCGGTGAGTTTGTCAAAAAGTTTCTACCAACGCTTCCACGTACGTTCAAGAGCTTGTTTGACACATCGATCAGTATCGAAAACGACAAACCTCAAGAACTCATTAAGTTAGAATGCTATAAATCGAACGATATCGAGTTCAAGTATACCATATCTTTTCTTTTCCTACAGATTATTAGGAGATCTTCTTGGAATTGACGATTATGCCACGAACATGGCGTCCTTTTGGTTCTTGGATACATTGGTCCTTTACATGATACGATACAGAGAGAATCTCGATGAGTATTACACGAGTGTTTTGGTCAGTTGGTTGGCTGGGGAAATTAGATTACTCCGAGGTAACAAATTCATCGAATAATTACACTCCCGTTCATAAGCATTGGGACATTTCCTAATTCTCGGTAAAACACGATAATTCACTCAGATATTAGGAGAACGATTAATCGGTCAGAATTATGTATTAGTGGAAAGCGATAGAATCGAAATGCTAGGTGGGATCGTTTATAAAATTCCAATAAAGCCAAAAGATCGCGAACGTAATGAAACATTTAACAGTATAAATTATAAACAGCGAAATTGATCAGCGATGCAGAGAGAAAAACGTAAACGAGAAGCTTAATCGTATTGTTTGTGCCTAAAATATTGGAACGAGCTATTATTCCGAACAACCTAATAATATCGAACATACAGATTCTTTGTGTCTCAAAGTTTCGAACAAAATAACAACATTCTAGATTTTTTAATTTCTCTTCATTTCCAGAAGGATCCTAATACTTATGAAGAGGCATGTTCATAATGTACGTGTATGATATTTGCTACTATATGCTATTCTACTTACAAATCATTCTACTTACAAAGATAGGAAACATACTCGGGAAGGATTTTTTAGAGATTTGAAAATCATTTTCATCGCAGCAGCTAACAAAATATCTGAACAGAAACAAATGCCATATTGGGACGAAATTGTGGACGAACGCGAAGCAGGTGAAGAAATAGAAGAAAGACTGTCGACAGGAAATCAATCGATAAGAAGGTAGTTTAAACAATCTTGTCAATTTTTATTATATGCTTTAATAATAGATCGTACATTCATGACAAGTTTGCGAGAACCTTCTTCTCAAGCTGACATCAAACTTTCGGGTACTATCGATCCAGTTTCAGTATTAGATATCGTGATTGAAGCTACTTACGATATGTAAGTTGTCTGTTTCATCATTACACTACGGATATTTGTGCAAATTCATATTTTTATAAACATAATTAAAGAAATAGGAAGTAAACTGAGGTTTATTTCGCTCGCTAAACTATATAGCAACTATATTCTGAATACCTTATATAATTTTATGCATTATGTGCATTCTACACATTCTTCGAAACACGTTCTCATAAATGCACAAATTATCCGCAGTCTATTTATTACCAAACAATAGAAAGAATAGACGGTAATACGAGAAAATAAAAACAATTTTTGTTAAATAGGTACGCGAACGAGCTACGATACGCCCTCGTTTACGCGGTTTTCGTGGAACCAATTGAGATAGAGACTTACAATTTGCCATTTACTTTCCGGACACCACGCCCAGTGAAACCGGCAGATCCTAAGATGATCCCTTTTAATATGCAATTGCAAAGAAGTTTGAAGAAAATCGAGACAATGGACAAATCTAAAAAGGACAATAAAGCAGGTGAAGCTAACATGAAACCATTCTTTCTTCTGCAATAGAACTCCATTTATTTGAACTCGTCGTGGAATAAGTAATTTATATAATAGAAATTCATCAATTTTTACGTATTATTATTTTTTATGCATTTGCTGCTACTTTTATGCTATTATTATATGCAGTTTAGTTAATTAAAACGAATTACGTTTCAGTAAATGGAGTTGTATTGCAGTTTAGAAAATACGCAGATAGAAAAAATTGATCATCTCTGTGTTACAGGCAAAAAACTTAAAACAAATTACAAAATACCCCCAACACCTCCGCCTTCTTTGGACGATGAAGTAATGTTGTTGACCAATCGGTTGTTTATTCTGCCATTAATAGAAGCGAACGAATCTTCGGAAATATTCGAGACGCCTGATGCATAACGTTAAATAACCGAACACGCAAATATTTGGAAAACGTCCTCTTTATTTTTCCTGTGTAAAACTAGCCATTGGACGAAGTTACAATATCAGTCTGTTACGAGGACTGTACCCCATTCATAACACTTAAAATCTTTAATACTCTCCGGACGTAAGGGAACGTCGAGTTTAATAAATTTTGAAGAACTCGAAAGTTTTTCCGGGGATTGCCCTAATTGTCCGTATTTGTTGCATCCACATCCCCAAAGCGTTCCATCATCTGTTGGAAAAGTAAATTTCTGCAATGCATTTTTTTCTGAAATAACGATATCTTTTCTTTTTTTTTGTCTTTAAATATACCCGTCATACAAATGGTGAAAGTATTTCCACATTGAACTTTTTTCACAGAAACTTCTATATTCTCGTCTTGATCGTTTGTGAAATCTACTAACGTGGGTGTAGCAACTACTTTGCTCTCTTGCTTTGTCAGCCCTAATTCTCCATGTGTGTTCCATCCCCACATATATAAGTCACCCTATGGTTTAAAAATAACTATTGCCAACTATGTTCATCGATTTAGTTTGTTCTAGTAGTATGAAACATATTTATAAACTGCGAATGTTTATACAATCCTATATTTTCATGAACGTAACTAAAGAAATGGAACTTAAATAGAAATTTGTTTCGTCTATTAAATATTATAATAAGTAATCTTACTTTAAATATATTATGTGTTTTTGCACGTTATATGGATTCTGTTTAATTTTTCAAGATTGCATAAATATTCACAGTTTAAATATTTATTTACTTGATCAGTTACTACGGCAGTATGCCAACCCGCAGCCGATATTTGCGTTACTTTAATGCCAGCTAAAGCGTCAACGATTCTTGGATTATCGCAGTCCTCTAAATCATTGTGTCCTAATTGGCCACGCCTATTTCGTACGAATCAGTCCATTTTACTTTGACTGTATTGATTTATGAAATAATACATGATCGAGTACATACGTTCCCATTCCCATTGAATAAATGTCACCATTCTCTGCTAACAAGATGGTGTGGTCAAATCCACCAGCAATGTCTATGAATCGAACCCTCTTTGGTATATCAATCAGAATGGGGACATTAAAAGCTCGACCTAAATCACGTTTTAGATATGTGCATAAGCTATAGTATTTGAAATATTTAGACTCTAAAATATGGCAAAAATGGGCTAACACCAATACTAAATAAACTGAATAATTTGCTTTCTAGTTAATTTTGTTATATTCTCCATTTCGAAAAAGTTAATTCTTCCACTTCTATATGATTAATATATGCTGCATGATGAATAAAATAGCTTATTGGAATAAATTAATGTTATAAATTTATATTGAGAAAAAGATTTGGTGTAGTTCACTTTTGCACTCAATGCTGCAAATGTTTACCTAAATTAGTAAGGACTACAGTGCATCCTCCTTGTATTATTTTAATAGGATACTCCTTTTCTGAATTGTCGCTATCACCTATAAAATTGATTATCTTCTTCCAAGTATTCTCATAGATCTTATATAGCCATATTTCATTATCATTAGATAAAATTACTATATTGTCCCTACCAGTTGCAGCTTGCTTGCAACTACAAAAATATGAATGTTGAACTAAAACGTCTATATGTTTTTAATTATTTAAATCCAAGAATATACCTATCCAGTGACTTTTCTGGTAGTTGTATTAGTTGAATATTTGTATCTGCGCCTGTATCTTTATTATTTTCCTCATGTTTTTTAGAAATGTATAGCTCATTCCCTTTCCAAATGAGGAAGTAACTCCAACCTATTTGAAAATCGGTAATTCCAGGAAACGATACTTTAGTAAATGAATCTGTTATAAAGCTGATATCTCCATCGTTAGAGAACAATGTACTGGTATTAAAACCAGCATAATAAAATGGCATGTCTCTACAAAGCAAAATAAAGATTTTATATATAAAGATATGAATGTTTTATTTATTATATACTTATTCGAGTAGAAGATACGCTGACATGAAAATAGAGTTAAATATTATGTATCTGTTGATTTATGTCTTTACATATGTAAATACCGTGAAAGACTATTGGTCAAGTGACGCAGATACCACCAGTTTCCTTAGATACGATAGAAACAACACAATAAATTCGAGGGACGATAACCAAACGCTTGACGTGTCGTGATCGACTACTGCCACGTTTTTTGTTCCAATTTAATAAACAACGGTGAAATATGGTAATAAACCGCAGATAATTGATTTTTAATGCACTCAACCTTACTATGCACCTTTACGTACTATTTAAACGATATTTGTTTCCCACACAAGATAGACAAGATATACGAAACATAACCTAAAATTTGTAATCTTGAATTTAAACGTCACAGCTTTTATCACAATGCGTTTCACTTAATGAAAATTCGCTATTTAACTCTATTTATTGCTTATTTTATACTCCGCTCATATAAACAAACATACATTTGTAGAAAATTCTGAAATTTTTGACGACAGGTTGACACACTTCCTTCGACAACACCAATGCCATCGCGATGTGATTTCGTCTGCTGCGTTAATAGGCGCGCGTTTTAAATTCAAAAATTTAAATACCATACAGATCTTTGCTTGAACAAGGTTAAAAAATGTTTTCATATTTTTGTGTATTTAATAACAGGGACTTTTATCAATCTTGAGAAAATTGCGTTCCAATCCAGACAAAGAATTACGACTGCTTCTTCTGGGATTGGATAATGCTGGAAAAACGACGATTTTAAAATCCTTGGCCAGTGAAGATATTACGCAGGTATTTCTTTTTGCAATTAATTTATATTATAGTTTGATTGTTTGTTATACTAAGTTTCTGTTTCTTAAAGGTAACACCGACACAAGGCTTCAATATAAAGAGCGTCCAAAGCGAAGGATTCAAATTGAACGTTTGGGATATTGGAGGTGCTCGAAAAATTCGTCCCTATTGGCGAAATTACTTTGAAAATACGGATGTTTTAGTAAGTTATTTCAATTATTCAAACACTGTCACAAAATATTTTAAAAATGATACATATATTACCCTATTTAGTTAGATGTTATATCGAAATTATTGTATAGGTGGTTTATTCGAATATGTAACTGATTTTTCTTCCATTTATTTCATTATTTAGCCATCAAAGGAAATGATTTTTTATTTTATTCGATGTTTTACGTTTGAACGAATGTTTTGTGAAATAGTATCTCGAATGATTCAACATTTTGCATTCTCTTTTTTTCCCGCAAAGATATATGTCGTGGACAGCGCGGACGTTAAGAGACTAGAAGAAACAGGTCAAGAGTTGTCAGAACTCTTATTGGAAGAGAAATTAAAAGCTGTTCCTTTATTGGTTTATGCAAATAAACAAGATCTTGGACAAGCTGTCACAGCAGCCGAAATCGCCGAAGGTCTTGGATTGCACAATATCAAGGATCGCGACTGGCAGATACAATCATGCATCGCGACCGAAGGAAAAGGAGTCAAGGTGCAAAAACTTTTTAACGCAGCAAGCTTAAACGTCGTGGACTGCATTTTAGTAAAGTCGTAACGTAATTTCGTCATTTTTTAGGAGGGTCTTGAATGGGCATGCAAGAACATCAAGAGGAAGTAATGCTGGTAAAAGAATAACAACAAACCGCAACGATTTACGATGTACCTCGTACATCCAACATACGTTTTATTTGGCTTTTACCTAATATTTACAGAAGCTGTTGCAAACGACGCAAACGCATGAACACGATCGAATAGATCTAGTCATTCAACTTCCGGCCTTCATGGAAGGAGCTTTCGTAAGCTCAGAATTACGACGTCCCAAAGAATATATCTATATTATAATACGTACCTTCTCACAAGTGCTCTTCTTATGAAATAGAATTCTTAGAGATTCCATTAAAGAAAGAAATAAATATAATAGCGAATTAAAAAGAAGATGCATACAAATAATTATAAACTGGTGCTCTTATAATTGACCACTGTTGATTTCACGACACTTGACCGAGAAATATTTAGCACCGTGGAAGTAAAAGAATCACACAATGTACATGAAAAAAAGTGAATATTCCTCGCGTGAGATTCGAGATAAATAAAAAATTCGTAACATTAAAAATCTACTTATTCGACGACTCCTTTCTCAGCTGTGTTTCTATGTACACTAAGACGTTTTTGAACTTTTCCAGTGATTCAGCTTTCTCTTCTTTTATTCCCTAACGCTTAATAATCTTATATACTACGCATGGAATAACAGCCATACGGTACGGCTGTGTATTCGTGAAATTGACTTTAAAAATCGCGAATGTCTCTCACAAGGTACACTTAATTAGATATTAAAGTTCACTGTGAATGTTCTCTGTTTTAATTCGTATCTCCTCTTCATGGAAATCTGTGCAGTCGGCTGGATATTTTTGCTGAGAATTGAAGAAAATATATCAACATAGTTCTTAACATGTAGAGAGAAAGAAGCAAAGAGAGAGAGAGAGAGAGAGAGAGAGAGAGAGAGAGAGAAAGAAATATGAGATACTTATTTTATTTTTTAACCTATGAAGTTTTAGAGTAGATTCGAATCAAAATATCTGACAATAATAATTTCAACAAACGACAGTGACTTGCCCTATAATAATAATAATAGATGATTAAATATTTGTTAGTTACCAATCATCATTATCTCGGATTGAAACTAATCAAACAAATTTTTCACAATCGTTAATTTTTGATAATAGCACTGATAGTAGATATTCTAGCCTATCTCATATCTCTATTCTCTTCTGTATTAACTTTGTCAAGACATTTCACTTACAGTACACTTATCATGTTCCATGATGGCTCCATACAGGGCCCAGAAATTAGTCCCTAATTTATAACTGACAGCCCAAGCAGCAGGAAAACTCGTCGCTTTCAATAAGGTACTTCTTAAACGAGGCTGCTCCGTATCTTGTTCGTTCCTTTCATTGATTGTGCACAAGATTTGACTGGCGCATTGCGGCATTTTAATTGCCCACTTGTACGCTCGATAAGACTGCAAATTGATTCTTAATTTAACATACGATTCTATAATAGAACAGATTCAATTATATATTATGTTTCATTTGTTACCTGTAACATTGGATTAATAATGTCATTGTTGATCATATCACTGAGCTTGTTGCTGATTCCTCTGGCGTTCACTCGAGACATGATGAATCCTTTTTCGGAAGCCAGAGCGATCAACTCCTTGATGTACGACACAGCTGGTTTGATATACTGCGAACTGTCGATTTTCATCCCTAAGTACCTCTTTCCCACTGCGTTCACTAATCTGTCGAAATATAATTACGCTATGAAATGGAACTCACAAAATAAGCGCTATTTTATTGATTTCTAACTGATTAACCATTCACAAAACTGCCAATTAAAATGTTTTATATACTGTTCGTTCGTAACTATTGCGACGATACATGGTCAAATATTTATTTATGTATTTATGTATTATTTATGTGTTTTATGTATAATATGCATTTCTTGTTTTAAAATCTATTACACGAAAAGTATATGTACATATATTCTACTATCAATGGATAAATATCCATACACTAAGTTCACATAAGGAAACTATTTCCAGAATTTGATTGCACTGTTATCGCAATACATCGCCATTTTAAAAACAGCGAAGAGATTAAATGTTAACTATAGCATGATAGATAGCATAACTAAAACATAACAAGCAGATAAGCGCATAACTAGAGCAGTGGCGATAGTACCTAGAAAGACTTTCTGCCGGTCTCATCGAATCGAACATGGCCGATTTTGGAAATCCCTGAGACTTCAGGAAACTATTTCCCACGAACTGAACAGTATTCAAGTAGCGCTGTTGAATTTGCGGATCAGAGATATGGGAAATCCACTCTCCGATATAATTCGTCAGCGATCGTATCCATCTGCGACGCAGGCCTGGGTTCTCGAAACTATCCAGCAATTTTTCGTACTGGATACGTCCCTCGGAGTCTGACATTTGGCCGACAAATTGCGCCAGGCCACTCTTCTTCCACAATGTTTGACCCAGTTCCGAGTTGCTGAAGTGGTCCCACATTACGTGCAAATTTTCAAGGATCGGTGGCATGTACCAAGAATGTCCAGAATGATCGTGTATATTATTAGGTGCACTGTCAACTTCGTTGCTCTCGCCGCCAAGATTCGACAGCAGCATCGGTATCAACCCCATCAATAACTCGGAATTGCCACGTTGACCCATCAACATGCTTCCCACGTTCACGATGTTTTCCAGATCGATTCCATGCTCTTGATTTGTTTCCACGCTCCTAGCTGTTCTTTTGGTACTTTTATCAGAGTTCATTACACCATCGAGAACCGAGCCAATCATGGAGAAATCGATTCCCTGGCTGTTTCCATTCCCGGAGAATAAACTTCCTATGCCAGATACGATTTGACCGATACCGTCTAGGTTGGACTTTCCGTCGAACGCGTTGCTGACCTGTTCGATAGAATTCTATACAATTGCTACGATTTTTAACATATGAACATTTGCAAAAGTAAAGATCTGTATAATTAATTGTTCGTATTTTAGAAATTGTGCTATATGCAACCAATAAGCTAATTTTTTACGCATTCTACGTATGTCATAGATTTTTAAATTAATTTCCTATAATTTCGTGACACATAAATTAGCAAATATCAAAGTGTTTGTAGTATATTGAAACATATTTCTATGCATACTATATTATTTGTGGTATCGGATACGAACGATAGAAACAAATGTTAAAATACTCTTCGAGTGGAAACAAATATACTCCAAGTGCCATCTTACCTCTTTTCTGCCATCCGGTTGCAAGAACGCTCTTGCCAATCCTTGTAGACCATTAATATTGTCCTTATTCGAGAAGAAGGATTTGGCAGCCTCGAGAAACACGGCTGAAGTATCCTCCTCTTCGTGTTTTTCGCATTTCGCCGAAGCCAGCAGAACCAACAGGATGCACGTCCTCGGCAACCGCATGTTTCCTTATTGTTTCTCTTTTGTCCGTCTTTTGTTTCTGCAAGAATATAGATTTGTTAACAAAGCGACAGATCAACATAACATGTCCCTCTTTCACATTTCTGGAATCTGATTCTCGGTCCTACAGCACGACGAACATGGAAAAGTCGTTCACCTTCAACCGGATCTTGATCGTGGTCGAGTTATTTTAGGATGCCGCGCCTGTATCCAGGTCGTCGGCAGGATTTTAAGCGTGAGTAATACACCGGAAACGTTTCGGCTCGTGGACACTTGAATACCGTTGCACGTGGAATGCTATCCGACCAACGATCAGTTGAACGTTGTCCCTTATTCGATTGCCATGTCATAAGTCTTCCTAGAATCTCCCAAAGTAGCGTTTCTCCTACTCCTATGTATGTATGTATATGTCGTGTTTTAAGTATATCAAGAAATTTACGAAAACTTACGTTACTTCAAAAAGCTCGAGAATTATCCTGTGATTTGAAATAATAATGTAATGTTAAAATAGCAATCTTAACAATCTTTGCGATGTAAGAAAATTAACCTTTTCCTAGTCTACATCGGTTGCGTTTCTCGATTGCTTACGAATAAGAGAGTCGTTATATGAGTCGCATAAAAATAACCCAACGGAACAGCGATATGCACTTGATTAATGAAATTGAGTGTCTAGAAAATTTGATCAATTTCAGTTGATCAATCTGGCTACTGACAGAATTATATCTAGTTCGTCTTCGAGCTTCGCAAGATACATAGTCCTTTAAGGCACGACTTGACTCTATTGCTCCCTTCACTTCATCGCGTCTGTATCTCTCCAGATATATTCCTTTCTCGAGTACTTTATTTAGAAAATGCGCGAAATACACAGAAGGTAGAAAAATTATATTAAATACTCGGATCAAATATTTAAATGTTATCTACATTCTATCTATAGATGTAATAATATCTATCTGATAAATCATCTATCTCGGATCATACAGACCCGGAGAGAACAGTAGATCAATGTCTGTCAGAAGTAAATAGCCGAAGGACGATCGTGATTGAAAAGGAACTGACCAACAATCGAAGCGTTGTATTCTAACGCGCAATTTGAGTACCGTAAACCGCATGAAATTGACATTCTCCAGTTGGAGAAACGATTCGGGCTAACGGTACAGACTGTTACTCATCGTTCCTCCAACGCGCCGAACTCAACGCGTCAATCGAACGACCGTCAATTGATTCACATTTCTCACATTCGGCACCGAAATTGAAAACGGACTTCTTTCTTTCTTTAAACAAATTTCTTCTCTGATTCACCGTAAAAAATCGAGCTTCGAACCTTAAAGAGAAAGACAATGGAGCATCAAGATGATCGAAAAACATTCTGAATCAGAGTGTAACGCGGTGAAATCGTCCAGGAAAGTGTTTCTTACAATTAGCCAGCGTGTTTCGCGTGAGGCAAGCTTATTTATCGATTTCGATCGTGAACACAGAAAGTGCAGAATGCAGATCGTTCTGGCGCGGACGAGAGGGAAAGCGAGGAGAACTCTCGGTTCGTGGTTAGTTTCCAAGGTCATCCGGACATCGACATCATTTCCAGGTTCGGGGAACCACGATCTCGCGATGTTCCAGCGCATCGTGTTACGTGTCCTTTCTATTCCCTTCTTGTATTTTTCTTCTTCTCTGTTCAGTCTCCTCTGCTCGAATAAGCGTTCCGAGCAAAGAGTCAACCGGATAACGGTACAATTCGTGTATTATTAATGATTTTGTTCAACAACGCGTACCGTTCTTGGATAGGTGACGCAGCTCTGTCAAGATGCAAACCAGCAGAAGGCAAGAGGATAAGAATAAGCACATATTAGGCATTCAAGCATCCATACATATAGATAAGTATAGACGTAACCGACATTTTACTACGTAATTAAAAGAGCTTGTTAGACACGGTCAGAGTATTTTTCTATACTCGTTCAGTACAATTTACCATCCCGTGCGATCCATTTAAACCATATATCGTTTTCCGTGCCTCTGGCTTTCCAAGCGTGCAAATTTTCCAGCCCCGTTGTTATAAGCGTGACGCAGGTTTCATTTAAAGAAAAATATTTACGAGTTCAATCCTTTTGGAAATAAAGAATAATACGTTGAAACGTAATTTAAAAAAAGTAACTGAAATTATCCCATTATATCCATTATCCCAAGCCTATTCCATAGTTCACTTTTCTATTCCATATTCTATCCTTCATATTCCTTGTCTCACATCCTATACCTCATAACTGGTATTCCTAACCGGTATCTTTCATCTTACTTCCAAAACTTCACCTCTCCATTCCATATCAAATATTTCATATTCCCTATTTCTCCTTCTATCTTCTATCCTAGTTTCCACAGCATATAACTCTATTCCCTATCTTATACCGAATATTCCCACGTCTTTCATTTCATCACACATTTTCTACATATTGTCTCTCACATACTATATCCAATGTTTCTTAAACCATATCTCATATCTTCTGCTCTACGTTGCAGAGCCCAAACTTTATTTCCTTCGCCCTACATTTCAAATCATACTACCAATTATCCGAAACTCAGTTCCTATTTCTTATTTCCTATAACATCGTCAGTTCCGCCAAAAAATTGAAAAATACAATTTAAGTGAAAAAAATATGTTTCCCACAAAGCGTGAATTACAACCAACTGAACCTATAGGACATCTCAATTCCAACAAATCAAAACCGTTATCCCACAAAACAAAATTCATTGCCCACAAATTTCCCACAAAACAAAATTCGTTGCCCACAAATTTCCCCACAAAGTAAAATTCGTTGCCCACAAATTTCCCACAAAACAAAATTCGTTGCCCACAAATTTCCCACAAGGCCCACAAAAAATTGATACCTCCGTAGACGAAGATCGCTATCCCACGAAATGAAATTCGCCATCCACAAATCTGTCCACCAGAAATCGAATAAATTTAATTTGTGGAAAATGAATTCCTTTTTGTGAGTAATTTGTGGACAACAAATTTTGTTTTGTAGGATAGCAATGGTGGTAAGTGTCGATTTTTGTGGAATTTGTGGGCAATTTGTGGACAACGAATTTCATTTTGTAGGATAGTGATTTTCTTTTGTGAGAAGAGTCGATTTCTTGTACTGTTTTGTATGTTTTATGGACAGTCTATGATGTATCTCGTGCGTCTAGTTTGAAAGGATGTATTTAATGAACTAGGTTGGGGGTAACGTGGTGAGGGACACAGAACAAAGAATATCGGCACTAAGGAATGGTGTAGCGGTGTGGGATGGGAAACATTGGATGTAGTATATTGGTATTGGGTGGTGTATATGTAGGATTTAATGAATTATAATTTTGGATAGGGTAATTTGTACCTTCTGTATGGAATGGAGCAACGGTATAAAATAGGGATTATTGGATTGTATATATTAAATATGCGGCGGGAAATTTAATAATTAGGAAATGAAATAAAGAGTAAGAAATTTAGATATAGATATGGGACATGTGCTTGGAAATGTGTAAGATATATGGGGCATGTGCTCGGGAAAATTAGTAGTTTGTCTTGAAAAGAAACGTCTACATAGGATGCAGAACAGGGCATGCAGGAAATGTGCTATAAAATGATGATGGAAATATGAATTATGAAATGTAGAATGGTGATGCATGTTGTGGATATTAAGGTGAAAAATATTAGCTGCAAGTACTAGATATGGAACAAGAGAGGAAATGGAAAACATGAAATGTTAGATAGGGGATGAATATATGTACTGTGAAACTAAGAATGACAGACATTTTTTTAGTATATTGTATATGAGATATAGAATCTGAGAATGGGATTATGAGATACGGGATATAGAATGGAAAGACATAGGTTAGTAATACTAATAGGATATAGGATGTGATATAAGCTATATGAAAAATGGAATGTGGGATGGTATTATGAACTATACAAGAGGCTTGGGATAATGGATATGGTATAGTGGATATTAGATGTTGGATATAGGATATAGAATATGTGAATAGCGGTGGAAGTGGAATAGAAATCGTGGAGTTTAATATACAATTTTTTAATGTACTTACCTTATTAGGTATGGAAAATGAAGTATCGGTTGTAGGATACATGATAGGGATACATAATGTAAGATTTGAGGTGCAGGATGTAGAAGATGGAATAAGATGTAAGATTGGAGTAGGCAGATTTTTGCTTTACGAATTAAAGAAACGCGACCTTGTTATGTAATGTGTTGATTCGCTATTGTGTTATTGCCTCTGTTATCTAAAAATAAACTTTATCTTAAAAGGCTTCGCAAACACTGAAACGAAAAAACAATTGGTTTATGCGCGATGTATTTCTATTTGTCATTTATGTAAATTCTCAAAGTTATATCACTGTTATGGATAGCTTATCGTAGATAGCAATAATTTGCTTGTTTTACAATATTTACGACATCTTTACGAAATAGTTTAAAATTTATGTCGAACGATTATTCGTTTCCTCGTACACGTTTCCTTGAAATAAACTTTTATTTTAAAAATAAATCGGTCACAATGTATATTTGTCATCAATATTGTTTCGTCAAAGTGCAACATGTTTCTGTTTTAATTAATCGGCGAATTATGCAACTTTTCATTGTGTTTACGAGTCGACCGATAAACTATCGTTTCGTATAATGAGAAACCTTGAATTTTCGGTGGCAATAACGTACACAAGAAATTTCAAGCGATAAGAATCGCGCAACAAGTTGCACGAGGAAACGAAGCAAAGAAAACGGTATTATAATCGAGTTACTTGATAGGTTATGAAAATTCGGAAAAGCGCAACAACGGTAGTTATGATCAACTAGAGCGTGTTCAATTATGTTTTCGATGGTTATGATCATTGAAGCTTGACACACCGCCATTCGTTACGCATCGTATATCTAAGCACATCGGATTAAAATGAAAACGCTGCGAATTCCATCAAAATTAATCTATGCATCTTCTCCTACGAATCTTCTAACTTCAGACTCACTTGAAATTCAGGCTTTGTTTTCTGTTTTTTTTGCTCTTGCATTCCAACGAAGAAACAAGTTTTGCACATACATTTTTACATACATTTTAAACTCTTTTCACGAACAAAAATTTCTGAAAAACACACGAAAGTCGATGAACTTTCGAGTCGATTCCAAATATGTGGATTTACCTGGACACCAGCGATTCAGAGAAGAATTGCGTTGACGCCGGCAATGAGAGACTTCGCGAATAACCAAAGATAGTCCCGTTGATCTCCGTGCGCACCTGACACGACGAAGGTTGTGGCGTGACTGCCGTCGAAGGTAGCTCGACGAACGGTACTTACCTACCCAAGCAGGTAGGTACATTCAGCAGCGAGCGAGAAGTCGATAACACCGTGCATCGTTTGTAGTTCCTTGCCACCTTCTGTATCTTTGATGTATTCTCAAATATTCTCCGAAGGTTCTGTGTATGCAGCTGTAAATACGAATTTGCATGAAAGATTCTTGAATTATTGTTTGCTCGAAAGTTCGAGTACTGCACTTCTTTTTAAAGTTTTTATTTGAATAAACAAAGACTACTTATAAACGGAGAAAAGGTGGGAAATCTGTTTTTGTTGGTATAATCTTCATATGTATTGTTGATTCTTAAAATTGCTTAGTGCGGTTCTTCCACATATTTTCAATCATAAACCAGCAAGTTTGAATATCAAAATATCAAACTACACGTATTGAAATGGAAACAGAAAAGATACGAACCTTCTGTGGAATTTCGAAGAATTACCAGAATTATAAAAATATTTCCTGTATATAGGTTGATGGTCGATAAAACCAGCTTGCATCGCGGGCAGGATCGCCACTTTCGGTGGCCCTTGCTGGCAACCAGTCATTGACCCCGAAACGAATTTAGAGAACACGCGTCAACAAGGCGCAATCCGTTGAATTCGAGGTGCCAAGGTCGAGTCTCATCTACTCACGACAAAGATTCACCTAACCGGTTCGAAATTCTATGGCCAGTTGCCAAGATTTCGATAACCACTGTCTCTTGGCATTCGACCATATTAAACCGCTTAACATCCGTGATACATAGTGACATAGCTATACACTTGGCTATATATTTACATACATAGCTATATATTTCAACGTCTACACAAACATTTGATGAATATATTGTGTGTGTTACACTTTCACATTTTGGAATTTCATTAATACTATAATGAGATCCGATCATCATGGTTGTATTGGTAAAGTTTGAAATAAATCTCGCAATGTACAATAGATGAATAAATTATGTTACCATAAACTCAACACAAAACATATTTACGAAATGCATTTATTATACGCTTAAGATGGTTATTCGTGCTGCACATTATTTTTTTAGTAAATATATATCTTTAATAAATATATTGTAATTTACGTAGTAATGCGTTGTATAATATTTTTTCTGATAAGTGTTCGGATACTTTGCTTCGAAGTATACTTATGTGATCATGGTAAGGAACAACCTAATGTAAATTGTTTTGCTAGCACTATTGTTTCTTGTATATTCCCCGTGAACTTGAAAAAAAAAACCTGGACATCAAATGGTTAAGTAACCCATAAATCGCTCGAACAGCTGTCGAAGTAACTTCTTTCCGGCACTGATTGCGTTAAAAAAATACCGTGGCGTTTAGTTACGCACGCGTGCTGCTAGGCTCGAGAAACACCGTTACGAGATCAGAATTCTTGTTTTCATCTACGTTTTGCTCGATGAACTCCGATGCTCGATGCGGAACACAGGAATTTCGCTATGATGCAATTTGATTCTATGATGCACTAAACTCTACGCTCTATAATGTGAAAATATCTTTACTGTTACTCTTTTGTCTCGTTTGTTCTCTCATAAACGATGCACCATGTTTATTATGCAACCTGAACATTCAGCACTACGACAGATATCAGAAAACACTTTGCCGTATCGTCTTTATTCTTTAATTCTTTTTTATTTCTAGAAGACAACGTGTCGTATCTATAATTTTATTCGCTGCTTCGTCCATTGTTAATAGTATTCAAGTTTGAAAAGGCCTTAAAGTTATAATCATCATCGGCAAAGCTCCACTCCCTCTTTTACGAGTTTCGTATTACGTCTGTATATTTTTATTCGCACGAAAATATTGATTTATACCGGACTCTCTTCAATATTGTACGCGAGAATAATAGATGAAAGAAGAGAACATATGCAAGCAAGAGAGCTTGGCTGCCTTCATGTGCGCGCCACGATAAATCGTACGTTGCATCGAAGCCAACGAATGTAGAGGAGTGCCATTGAGTAGCAAACCTTATAGTAGAGTCTGATTTCGGAAAAATGTAGGAGACGGTGCTGGAAGTAGTTGGTATTTGGCCTACGAGAGATGGATCTTCCTTTATTCGGTGGATTTTCGTAATGACGACGCGAGTGGGTTTAGAAGCCTAGTAAAATGCAAACTTGGGTATTACTTAAATTCAGTGAAACTTCATTTATATGAACTTGATAAAAATAGTTTATAGATTAGAAGATCACTGATTCTCCCCGCTACCTAAGTTGTTTCGTTCATATAATACAAATTTAAATGAATAGATTTAGTTAGCAAAAGTTTTTGTAATCAGCCATTGATTAACATTTAGTTCAAATAAATAAAAATTATATAAACGGAGTTCTACTGTACAGCAGAATCTCGTTTGGTCGAACACGTCGGGGCCAATGCCACGTGGCAAAAAAGTAACTGAAATTAAATCAATTCTCAGAACAAATGCCGTTACTTTGTAAACTAAATCGTCCGCCTTGCCTACAACTCGAATAATATTTCAAATCCACATTAGCATTAAAGACCATGTCATGTTGTTTAAGAAAGTTAACCAAGGTAGAAGATCATTTGAAAACGATTTCTTTGAACTTTGTGTAGAACGAAATTACTTTCCCTATATCGTTCATACAACAAAAATAATTCGTTATTTCAAACTGTTTTTTATCTTTATTTCAAATAAAATTTGTCCAAACCTGGTAAAGAATCGTCAAATTTTCCGGTTACGCGCCGTAATTCGAAACACGCTCATGATAACATAAATTCAATTCTAAAGAGCTGATCAGTTCTTAATAATTCTTATCATAGCGATGTTATGATCGAATATTTAAAAAAAAACGAATCGTTACTTAATGATGCCGTATCTTGGTTATGCCTCCGGGTTGTCTTTCACGGTCCAAGTCTGATTTTAGCCGTTCCAAAGTACTTCAAGATTCGATTAATGCAAACTCACATATAGAATTCATTATAAGAATTCACATATAGATATAGATTTGTTTTATTCCCCAAACGTTATGAGAAATGCATTGGATGTTTTTATATTTTTATTTGTTCAGATTATGTGCAGTCTATATAAATACGACCGCATTAGGACACCACCTTACATCTATTAACAAATAACCAATAAACAACAGTACATAACAAATTAACATATAGCAATTTTCATCCATTTAGTGTCTTACACCATGTACGTGTTTTACGTAAAATATTTATAATACAACTGAGTTAGCTGATAAATTTATACTAAATATCAGCTACCGCCCTCATATTTACGGCAGTATATATAATTCTGATATACATATTTCGAATGTAAAAGTACATTGTATAAAATAAATATAACAATTCAAGGTAAAGGTTACTTTTCCACGTAAAACGATCGGTTTCTAACATTTTAACTATGACGTGCCTTACCCATCTTCGTATGTTCCAAAACTCGGTGAACTCGCCAGTAAGTCTAAATAGTCCCAAAAAATTGAACTATTTTCTGGCAAGCGAGTTTGCGTCCACTTGTCTTTGCTCCATCACCTCTGCGTATTGGCATTGCAAGTGATTTACATTCTCGACAACGTAATCGTTCATTGTATCAACGATGGATCACTCTTCGGCTTAACGATGCATCTTTGTGGTCAATTCGAGATTATCAAGACGAATTTTATTAAGTCGATTAACTTCGAGAAGTTTGGCTGTTAGAAAAAATCCGACTTTCCGTGGAACGACACTGTCAACCCTGGTACCGGGCAATAATTTAGAACAAATCCTCGATATAATCATATTGGTGCAACTACTGATGAGCGCCTCGTTGATTTGCGTCGAAGGTAAAAATATGTCGCTTCTACATCCTTTTCTCTGTTTTCGTTTTCATTAGCTGATGTGAAATACCTGTGATAACGATAGGAAATTTAGAGTACTATACATGTTTATTCCGTTTATTATTAACATTAAAAATGCAAATGATTAAAATATAAATCGAGGATATATAAGCCAAAAGACATGTTTCCATCCATACACTTTGCAAAAGATACATTCAAATCTCAAAATCTACAAAATTATGAAAAATCGCAAATTGATCACTTTGAACAACATTCAGTTTCTACTGTTTCTTCTTTCTAAATTGTGCCAACTCAAAATCATGTAAAAACAGAGACAGGTACAATTAGTATATTACCTTGAAAGCTTCGCCCTGATCTGGCATTCTCATACAATTGTACCCTTACGTCTACGCAGCCGATGCTGTGGAGTCTCATCCTCTGAATCTCGCGTAAGCCGTCTACACTTCTAGTATCACATTCTAGTATCAATCTCGAGCACGTGGCACTAATAATCAACCATGGAGACTTAACGATCCACGTGACAGCTGGGAAATTCCTCCTGATGAACCCATTCACTTTCAAAGAAATACCGAAGACGTGAGATTCTTATTTGTCCATTTTGAGGGTAATGATGGATACGTAGAAACCATTGGTCGCAAGTGCTACGTATATATGCAGTGAATTCTCGTACGGCACCAAGCACACGACAAGACTCTCAGACTCCCTCGTTCTGCACTCGGTTGTCATCCCCACTACTGCACTGGCGGGAGTTTTCCGCATGGGGATCTAATGTTCCCTTTAAACACATCGTGAAGTTCAAGGGCTGAATACTGTAACCTGATCCATGAAGCACTATTAATTTAACGATGAAGCTTCTTTATTTGTGTTCTTTTTTCAGACGGATCTTTTACTAATGCATTTGCGGCATTACTCTATTTAAAATAAGATCGAATACGATATAGTTTAAATCACTTTCACACACATGTGACAGATGAAAGAACATAAGTTAAATTCACTAAATAAGCACATATGTCGCAAATTATATCGTGTTTGATTTTGTTTCAACCAGAAAAACCCCGTAATTACGTTGGTAAAAGCTTTATTCAATAAAAATTAATTTCATTCAACGTTAGTATTGCTTCACCGATTTTCTGATCTAGCCGACTTTCGGGCCATTTTTTCTAACACTCGCACTGTTCTTTCCTATGTCTAGTGGGAGCTACTCTTGGTAATTCCTTGCGTAACAAAGACGATACTACAGCAGCTCTGCAGAAACAGCAGCGAAATATTCTGTTACGCAAGACTTTCACTAACATATCTACGTACGAAGCATACTATAATCTCTTAAACACGAGTGCACAACGTTTTCGATCAATGTATGCGAATAAATAAGTCAGTTTAGAGCCATTTCGAGATCACGCAATTACGATCACAGTCTTTGCTTGCGTTCAATATAATCTATTGCATCGATCATAAGTAAGACGTTTCAGTTTTCCCACATTACTTACAAGAAAGGGTATTTGCTTGCTATAAGAAAATAGATCTTCCTCCTTTGCGTTTACTTACATACCGTTGCAACCTTAGTCTGATAATTTATAATAAAAATTGAATATTCTTTGAAGACACAGACCAATTTTCGAAACAGACGACGCCGAACAAAAGAAAACGCGGTATAGAAGCATGGCAATAAAGTATTTACCTATGAAGTAACCACCACCACTTGAATTTTCTTGGAAATGTGCAGTTGAAATAGAAATGGTAACCAATTGGGCAGCAGACGTAATTGAACGATTATAGCAGAATAAAAGATAAACCGAAAATAGATACAATTTGTTAGTATGTTGGAAGAAGGAAAGGGAAGATATTCACGATTACGTGGAATTACTTGTCGATCCTCATTTTGTAAGGATGAAAGAGTCGTCGGATGAAGATTTCGCTTACGCGATGGCTCCGCTGAAAATCATGTCGTGGCCTGTAGGAACCTGGCCTCCTCAAGTGTACGATATCTTCTCCGCTATACGTGCTATAATCGCGATTCTACTTCTGGTATGAAATTTTTGTGATTCTGTTTCTAAGTTGACACGTTAACTACCAACTATATAGAATCGGGGACAAAGTAAGTGGGCAAGCAAATGGAACTAGTTTTAATGTTGTGCACTTATATCCTTTTTATTGCATATCGTTATACTACATAGATTAATCAGGAAATAACAGGAAATAACAAGCCGTATTTAACGAAACTACAGTGACAACTACTCCTCCTACTTATCCACTTACTTTTAAGCAAACGTGTTAAATGAAATTTCTAAAAGCCAAATTGATCCGCTCCACGTTCTGCTACTCCGACAATTTTGTAATTACTACACGTTATTTGTATTCTCTTTGGAAGACACCTGACGTATTTCTATAAATTTTCTTATAACATAGAAATCGTTTAAATTATAATGAATTCAAGCATAAATTAAGAAAGCAAATATGAATAATTTCATCGCACTTTTTACTTTTCAATTTGTGAACCTAATCAATGTGGTTTCTGAGTGACTGAATTTGTTTTATAGCTACTCATGCTGATCATCGTGCAAATGGAGTTGTATTTAGACAGTAGCGACGCCAAGAAGAATCTGGACGCTCTACTATTAATTACCTGTGGCATTTTGGCGTTATCAAAGATCATACGCTTTCGCATTCAGCCTGATGGCCTTGTTTCGAATTTTGTCTCGGCGGTTAAAGATTATAACGAACTAAAAGACCAAGAGAAACGAATGATAATGCGAAGACACGCTTATATGGGTAGACTGGTGTCTGCTAGTGTGATATTTTCTTCGTGCATCGGCTCGACTCTTTACTTGGCTATCCCTATGCTATCTGGAGATGAAGAAAAAGATATAGTTAACGTAACGAAAGGAAGTATAATGGATTACCCTATACCTTCCGAATGTGTAATGGCCCTTATACAATTGCCGGATAATTTGTTCTTTATGGTTTTTATCATAGAGTACTTGATGCTATTGTTCACGAGCACTGGAAATCTAGGTAATGAATCGCCGTGTCCAATGAACCACCCATTGTCAGGAGCCATTCTAATTAATCCATAGATTTTAACGAAGAAGAAAGATTAACATCATTTTTTCAAACGCAAGGAACTGTTCTTTTATTTGCATTGGCTTCTTACAATCAGTCCCTAAAACTTGTCGTACGATTTTATTCGCAATTTAATTTACATAAATATAGTACTCTATATTGAAAATAAACTCCAGACTCGGTATGACACAAAGTATAATGAGGAATTTGAACAGTTGGACGTGTATCTTGTGTGTATGCAATGCGCCTATACCTCCAGATGCCGAAATTAATTATCCGTTTTGGACAATGAAACTAAGAACGCGATAAAAAATGGAATTGATCAGTTTGGCTCCTGATTTGCTTGATTGGCTCGGTACATGTACAGATACTTGCCCAGAGTAGCGCAAGAATCTAGCTCATTTAGTTTGAAATATGAATTAGGAAGCGATACGTTGTTCTTCGGTATTATTTTTCACCTGTGCGGTCAGGTAGAAATTCTGAGATTAGAGTTCAATAGACTAGGTAACAAGAACGAAAGAACAATGGAACGTTTCATCGTGTTAATCAAGAGGCACATTTATTTATTGAACCTAGCCCACATGCTCAACGAGACAATTAGCTCTATCTTGGTTATGCAACTATTCTCGAGCTGTGTGCTTATTTGTACAACCGGTAAGCGTTCTGATCTCGCTTAATAAAATAACACGAAGCCTGGTATAAGAATATTTGAATATCATTTATATATAGGTACAATATTCATCTATTTTTAGGATTTCAACTTATTCTCGATCTGAGCATCGGAAACATAGTCATGACGATGAAAGGATTTATAGTTCTGAACGCTATGTTGGTGCAACTATTTGCATACAGTTATGTGGGCGATTATTTAACGCGCCAAATGAAAGGTATCAGCGACTCGATATATTTTTGCAACTGGTACGATATATCGAAAAGTATGGCAAAAGATATTATTTACGTTATTATGAGAGCTCAATATCCAGTGTTCTTGAAGGCTGGCAATTTCTTTATCGTCAATATGGAAACGTATATGAGTATTCTGAAAACTTCTATGTCGTATCTTTCAGTCCTTCGAGTAATGGTAAATGCTTGAAGCGGTATGAACCTAATAAAGTACAATAAAATATAAAATATTTTCTTTCTGGTGTTTTAATATTCACTTCGTATACTCGAAATCAAATAGTTTTGGAATCGAATGTACGCAGTAGATCGTCTCAGTAGACTGTTATGGTCAATGATTCACGCAATTTTCGATAGATGTTATTGCAGCATCGTTTGTTTATAGCCACTGACTAAGAACAGGATAGACGTGACATTACATGGGTGTTCGCGTCTCTGATTCTGAAATACAGGAAAAAAACCAAAGTTCATTTGTATTACACTGTGGTCAAGGAACAGGAACACAACAAGAGCCGACTCTCCACATGGAAATCCACATGTAAAACAAGAAGGGCCTCTTCTGCGCAAGCAGGCACACGTATATGGATACATATAAACACTATGAATGCCTCAGACAGAGGCATTCAGAAGCAAAATTTCATTTTGTGCCTGTATATTTTTATTCGTATGAAAACAGATCAAAGAAGAGGACATATGCACGTAAGTGGGCGTAAATGTTTTCGTGTGCGTGCTAGGATAAATCGTACGTCAAATCGAAGTAAGTAAACGAAAGTAGAGGTATGTCACTGAAGGGCTAATCATATAATAGTGTCTGGTTTCGCAAATACTCGTTAAGTTTATTGTAACATTATCACAAATCTTACTCCATTCAGTATTTTACATCATAAGTCAAATTTATATAATATTTCAAATGTAGAAATATATTGCATAAAAGAAATATAATAACTTGGTGCAGTCGATTAGTTTCTAATCATCTAGCTGACGTGCCTTACCTCTTTTCAGATCTTTTAACACTCGATGGACCCATAGATAGATCTTAACAATCCCTTGGAATTGAACTACTCGATGACAACATACTGCCTATTTTGCTAACTTTTCCTCATCCCATCTGCGTATTGGCACTGCAGACAATGTGCAACGTCGTCAATGTAATCGCTGATTGGGCCAATGGCGGATTATTCTTCAGCTTAAGGATGAATTCCCCCAAGTACTCATTGCCAGGAGTCATGCTAATTAACTCCATAAATGTTGATGAAGAAAAAGTTTAACATCATTTTTCAAGTGCAATACAATTTGTTTTCACTTGTATCTGTCCTGTAAAATCACTCCTTAAAACTTTACATACCAATTTGTTTGCCATTTTACTTACATAAACATACATACCATTATATTCGTTTTAACGTACATACTATGGTGTACTTTTTTCTAAATGATAATAATCAATAATATACATAAATATTAAAAAGTCAAAGAGTATATTTTTGTCCATATATTTTATTAAGACTCGTTTAAAATCTCAAAATCTATATAATTATTACCGATAAATCATAAATTTATCACTTTTATCACCCTGCTACTTCCATTGTAAGAGAGTTAAATGTCTAGTATTTTCTAAACTCTGCCAAATCAAATTCGTGTAAAAACAAGTATAATTGGTATATTACCTTGATCACCGCAGCCTGTGTATTGTATTCAAAACCAGATTTCGTGTTCCTGGTTTGCTTGAGCACGAGAGAGCACAAGCGTCGGTGCATAAAAAAGCTTCATCTTGATGATGAGATTACTCCAACAGTCGTGCAAAATATAACATTAGTCTTACCGACTTTTTGATAAATTCGATTTTCAGACCACTTTCTTACTCGCCCTCTCTCTTTTTAAATCCGGCAAAATGCTACATCATATCTATCCCTCGCACCGGTTCTTTCCTCGATGGACGTTTGGTTTGGATCCAATTTTAGTGTGCTGTGCTGAAATTTACTGCATTCCTCCCAGGAATTACCCTTTGTAAACCCTCGAGCAACAAAGGCGATATTACTCTTATTCAGCGAAGAAGAGCAACGATATTTTCTCTCACGTAAGACGCAAACTTTCACACAAATAAATGCGCACGGAGCACACTTTAGTCTGTTGAATACCGAGTATACAACTGTTTGGATCAATGCACGCGATTAAATAAGTAATTTTGATGCAATTTTGAGAAACTCCGAACACGATCTTACCCTTCGCTTGCGTTCAAACATAATCGATTGCAATTTAGACGTTTCACTTCTACTACTTTCCCTGTAGCACAGGGTATCTTCTTACTATAAGAAAATAGATTTTCGTTCTTTACATTAACTTACATACCGTTGCAACTCGCATCTAATAGTTTGCATGAAAGTTAAATATTCTTTGAAAACACAGACCAATTTTCGAAACGCATGATCTATTTAACAATTTACCATAGGAGTTGGATATTCTTTGAAAACAGAGACCAATTTTCGAAACGGAAGATGCTGAACGACGGAAAATGCAGTATTAATCGTACAGCAGATCGGCAATAACGTATTTACCTGCGAAGTAACTGCCACTGGAATTTCCTTGGAAATGTGCACATGGCATAGAATTGGTAACCTATTGGACGGCAGATAATTGAGCGATTACAGTGAAATAAAAGATAAGAAAATACACACAATTTGTTAATATATGGGAAGAAAGAAAGGTACGGTACTCGCGTCGACGTAGAATTATTTCTCGATTTTCGTTTTCGAGGATGAAGGAGTCGTCGAGGAAAGACTTCGCTTACGCGATGACACCGATGAAGATCGTATCGTGGCCTGTTGGTACCTGGCCTCTTCAAAATTACGGTATTTTTTCCGCTATGCGTGGCATCATCGTGATCTCTCTTGTGGTATGAAACTTTTTGATACCGTTTCGATGTGAATATGTTTACAATTCGTTATACAGAATCAAGAACATAAATAAGTGGATAAACTAATGGAACTAATTGTAGTGTTATATATGCAGCTACATTTTATTTTTTATTGTATATCGTATAATACATAGATTATTTAGCAAATAATTAAAAGTGATATTTATATTTTTGTATAAACAAGCCGTATCTGACGAACCAAAATTGACGTTTGGTTTTTCTTTCGTAAGGTTTGTTGAATATTTAACTAAACTTTAAGTGTCAATTAAATAGTCGGTGGAAGATTGGAGTTATTGTTTCGGAAAACACTTTGACATTTCGGTAGAATATTTCGAATTACCACAATACTTGTTTCCATTACCTGTCTATTTACTTTTGCCCGAATGTGTTAATAGACATTCTGAAAATCACTTTAATCCGCTACATTTTTTGTTAATTTCACAATTTTACTATTACTCTACACTATTTACGTTCTTCTTGAAAGACAAATGTCTTATTTCTATCGATCTATTTGTGACAAGCGGATTATGTAAATAATAATGAATTCAAAGGTAAATTAAAGAAGCAAATTCTAATAACTCCATCGCTCTTTTTACTTTTTTCATTTGCGAGCCTAATCAATAGGATTTCCGAGTAGCTGAAATTGGCGCTTTTAAGAATTTTCGTTCATTTACAGTTGCTAATGCTAGCGATCTTGCAAATGGAAATGTACTTAGACAGCGGCGACGCCGGAAAAAACGTGGACGCTTTGATATTAATAACAAGCGGCGTTGTGGCCTTGTCAAAAATTATATGGTTTCGTATTCGACCTGCTGGCCTTATTTCGAATTTTACTTCTGCGGTTAAGGATTATGAAGAATTGGAGGGTCAGGACAAACGATTGATAGTACGAAAGCACGCTTATATAGGCAGAGTAGCATCTGCCACTGTGATATTTTCTTCGTATATCGGCTCCACTCTTTACATGACTATTCCTATGCTGGCTGGAAATGAAGAAAAAGATATAGTTAACGTAACAGAAGAAAGTACAACGGATTACCCTATACCTTCCGAATACGTAATGGACGTTATACAATTGCCGGATAATTTGTACTTTATGGTTTTTATCATAGAGTACTTGATGCTGTTGTTTACGAGCACTGGAAATTTAGGTAATGAATCGGGTGTTCAATGTCAGGTGCCATGCTGATTAATCCATAGATTTTAACGAAGAACAAAGTTTAACATCATCTTTTTAAATGCAAGGAACTGATTCTTTTATTTGCATTGGCTTCTTACAATCAGTCCTTAAGACTTGACGTACGATTTTCTTCGCAATTTTACTTAAATAAATATGGTACTCTATATTGAAAATAAACCCTCGGCTCAGTATAACGCAAAGTATAATAAGGAATTTGGACGTGCGTATGTAACGTGTTTAAACTCTCAAATGTTGAAACTAATTATTCGTTTTGGACAATGAACTTAAAGAACGCAATAAAAGATGCAATTGATCAGTTTGGCTTCTGAAAGATACATATAAAGATATTTGCTCAGAGTAGCGCAAGAATCTTGCTCATTCGAGTTGTAATATGAATTAGGAAGCGATTCGTTGCTCTTCGGTATCATTTTTCACCTGTGCGGCCAAGTGGAAATTTTGAAGCTGGAATTCAATAAACTGGGCAACGAGAACGAAAGAATAATGGAACGTTTCATCGTATTAATCAAGAGGCATGTGTACTTACTGAACCTGGCCAAGATGTTGAACGAGACGATCAGCTCTGTCTTGGTCGTGCAACTATTCACGAGTTGTATACTTATTTGTACCACGGGTGAACACTTTTACCTCATTTAATGAAATCATATGAAGCTCGATGGCATAAGTTTATTTAAATACGATCAATGTGTTTGAACGATTTGTATCTATTTTTAGGATTTCAATTTATTCTCGATCTGAGCATTGGGAACATCGTCATGGCGATGAAAACATTGATAGTAATGAGCTGTCTGTTGGTTCAATTGTTTGCATACAGTTACGTGGGCGAATATTTAAAGCGTCAAATGGAGAGCGTCGGCGACTCTGTGTACTTCTGCAGCTGGTATCATATACCGAAAAATGTGGCAAAAGGTATCGTTTTTGTCATTATGAAAAGCCAAGATCCAGTTTCCTTGAAGGCTGGGAAATTCTTTATCGTCAATATGGAAACGTACATGAATATTCTGAAAACATCGATGTCGTATCTTTCAGTCCTTCGAGTAATGGTAAATCCTTGAAATGTTGTTAATATAATAAAACAGAATAAAATATTAAATATTATACTTTCAATGATTCAATATTCGTTTCAAATTCATTTAGAGTTGAATGTGCGTAGTAGATAGTCTCGGTAAGCTGTTATGATCAAGTGTCTTTTGTGTGTAGCCATTGACTAAAGACAGGATTGACGTGACGACTTGACATTGAATGGAACTTTATGGCTCAGGTTGTGAAATAACTAGAAAAGATTTGAGTGTTTCTTGCAGCCTCTCCGAATTGCTACTGCGAACGTAGGAAAATTATATTCGTCCCGATCGTCAACAATGACGAAGTCAGTAGCTACGAAGAGATCTTCCTTTGTCGAACTCTCGAAAGAAAATTTGTCTCGTCGCATAACTGACAGCTATGAAACGCCACGTGCATAAGTTGAATTGTCAGCATGCGGTAATTGGGATAACATGTTCCTGTATACGGTATATACACTATATATACACTACTATGTATTTCAATTTTCGACGATTAAGATATATAGGATTTATACCAAAGACAACAGAATGGAAGATATACGAAAAAATACATAATTCAGAACACTTTTACCCATATATTTTATAAAGAATCATTCAAGATCCCAAAATCTATAAAATGATTATGAAAGGTCACATATTTACCACTTTGACTACCTTGCTACTTCTTTTGTTGAAGGATTAAATACCTAGTTTCTTCTAAACTATCAAATCAAGTTCATGTATAATTGGCATATTACCTTGATCATCGTATCACGTGTATTTAATGAAAAATCTGGTTTAGTGATCGTGGTGTGTTTGAGTACAAGAGGAAACATCGGTGAATTGCAAACGTTTCTCCAGATGGTAACGTTGCTCATACAATTCTATAATACCTTTACGCCCACATAGGGGATGCCTCGATCCAAAGGGTTTGCAGTTTATCCTGTTATCAACCTTGAGAACATAGCAAGGGATCTGACACTGATAGTATCAACCGTGTGAACTTGTCGATCTACGTAACAGCTGAGAAATTCCTCTCGATGAACACATTCGCTTTCAAAGAAATACACGTGAAAATCATTGATCGCGAGTGCTACATATATATAGTAAACTTCCGTACAGTACCAAGCACCCGGTAAGGCTCCCTCGTTGAACACTCCATCGTCTCCCCCATTGCACTGGGGTGAGTTTCCCGCTTGGGGTTCTAGTGTTCCCCCTGACACATTGCGAAGTACGAGGGATTAATAACGTAACCTGTTCCATCGGATATTACCAATTCAATAAAGGAATTTTTATATTCTTGATATCTTTCACATTACATATTTACTAACGTAGTTGTGAAATTTTTTCGACTGAAATAACACCGAACACGATATAATTTAAATCACGTTTACAGATATGTAATAGACGAAAGGAACAAAGTTAAATTTACTAAATGAGTAAATATTGATTAATTAAGAAATCCTCACAATTACATGGATAAAAGTTTTATTCGAGAAAAAAGAATTGAATATAACGTTTGTCTCACCGATTTCTTGATCCGGGGAAATGACAAGCCGTATCTATCCGTAGCACTGTTTACTCCCTCGATGAACATTTGGCTTGCCCAATTTTGTTCGATTTTAGGATACTATGCAGAAGTTTTTGTACATTCCTCTTGAGAATTACGCTTGGCAACCTGTCGCACAACAAAGGCAATGTTACTGTTACTCGACGAAGAAGAGCAACGAAATTTTCTCTTACGTAAAACTCAAACATTCGCAAAAATAACTACGCACGAAGCATGCTTTGGTCTGTTGACACGGAGCATACAACCGTTTGTATCAATGTACACGAATAAATAAGTAATTTTAGTGCAATTTTGAGAAACACCGACCACGATCGCACCCTTCGCCTGCGTTGAAAATAATCGATTGCAATTTAGACGTTTCAGTTCTACCACTTTCCTTAGAAGAAAGGCTATCTTCTTACCATAAGAAAATAGATCATCGTTCTATGCGATACTTACATATCGCTACAACCCTACTCTAATAGTTTACTATGAAAGTTGAATATTCTTTGAAAATACAGACCAATTTTCGAAACACAAGTAGTTCAACAGCTATGAAAGTTGAACATTCTTTGAAAAGTCGAACTAATTTACAAAACGAATGGCTCTGTACGACAGGAAACGCGATATTACTCGTACGGAAACTTGGCAATAAAGTATTTACGTACGAAGCAATCGCCTCCTCCCTCCCCCACTGAATTTTCCGAAATACGCAGGTAACGTAGAAATGGTAAGTTACTGAACGATGGATAATCGAGCAATTATAATAGAATAAAAGATCAACCGACGAATAGGGATATAATTTGTTGTATGCGGGAAGGAAGAGTAGGATGGTATTCACGATAACGTGGAACTGTTCGTCGATCTTCATCTTGCGAGGATGAAGGCCTCATCGCGTAAAGACTTCGCTTACGCGATGACTCCGTTGAAGATTGTGTCGTGGCCTGTAGGTACCTGGCCTCTTCAAGACTACGACATCTTCTCAGCTATGCGTGGCACCATAGTGATCTTTCTTATGGTATGAAACTTTTTTGATACCGTTTCGATGTGAATACGTTTGCAATTCGTTATACAGAATCAAGAAGATAAATAAGTGGACAAACTAATGGAACTAATTGTAGTGTTATATATGCAGCTACATTTTATTTTTTATTGTATATCATATAATACATAGATTATTTAACAAATAATTAAAAGTGATATTTATATTTTTGTGTAAACAAGCCGTATCTGACGAACCAAAATTGACGTTTGATTTTTCTTTTGTAAGGTTTGTTGCATATTTAACTAAACTTTAAATGTCAATTAAATACTCGGTGGAAGATTGGAGTTATTGTTTCGGAAAACACTTTGACATTTCGGTAGAATATTTCGAATTACCACAATACTTGTTTCCATTACCTGTCTATTTACTTTTGCCCGAATGTGTTAATAAACATTCTGGAAATCGAGTAATTCTACGATTTTACTATTACTCTGCGCTATTTACGTTCTTCTTGAAAGACAAATGACTTGTTGCTATAAATCCTTGTATGAAGGAAATTATGTGAATAATAGTAAATTAAAAGGTAAATTTAAAAGAACTCATTTTTATTTCTTCATCGCACTCTTTACTTTCCAATATGTAAATTTAACCAACCCAAATGCAGACGAGCAACTTTTCTTCCGCGCAACATCGCTACCATCGTATGCCTCTCTTCGTTTTCCCAGTTAAGAAATACGAAGGCAGAGATCTGATCTTAGCGATATCATGCGAACGAAAGTCGTTTCTCTGCATGCGGCGTCAAAAAATGACTTTTGAGTAGCTGAAATTGACACGTTTAAAAGTTGTCGTTCTTTCACAGCTATTAATGCTACTGATCGTGCAAACGGAGATGTACTTCGACAGAAGCGATGCCGAAAAAAACCTTGACGCCCTACTATTAATTGCCTGTGGTATTTTGGCGGTGTCAAAGATTATGTGGTTTCGTATTCGACCAGCTGGACTTATTTCGAATTTTACCTCGGCAGTCAAGGATTATAACGATTTGGAAGATCAAGAGAAACGGGCGATAATGAGGATGCACGCTTATATGGGCAGAGTGGTATCTGGCAGTGTGATCATTTTCGCGTATGTTGCCACGGTTCTTTTCATGATTGTGCCTGTGCTAGCTGGTGTGGAAGAGGAAGATATATTTAACGTAACGGAGGAAGGTGTACCGGATTACCCTATGCCTTCCGAATATGTAATGGAACTTATAAAAATGCCAGATAATTTATACTTTATAGTTTTTATCATAGAGTGCCTGATGCGGCTATTAGTAAGCACTGGAAATTTAGGTAATGAATTCTCATATCAAATGAATCCATCACTGTCAGAAGCCATACCAATCGTTTCCATAAATTGAAATGTAAACGAGAGTGATAAGAATGAGCATTGTTTGTCAAAATTTTCATCGCAATTAACGATTATAACTTATTTGCCCCTAGCGATTAGAAAAGAGGTATTAGACGAACTTGCTTGATTTCACGTATTATAGTAGAATACATAACTCCGTATTAACAATCCTTTTGTATGTGAATGTGTGGAGAAAATATAAAGGTCAATGTTTTTAAGTCGAATGAAATGTTTCTTTCGTTCACATTATCCCTTTATGGCAAACCATTGAAACTCCACACGCCAAGAACTTTCGCCACTTTATTTACATAGACATTGCATTTGGTATCAAATATGAAGCGCCAATATTAGAATAACTGAAAGCACATTATCAGAGAATTACACAGTTGGACTTGTACTTCTTGCGTATGCGGTGTGTCTACAACTTCAGATATTGAATACTAATCATTCAGTTTGAAAAATGATATCGAGAACTTGGTTCAAAAAGTTTGGCTTCTGATAGGCTCGAGTACCCATATTTGCTCTAAATAGCTCAAGAACCATGCTTATTTACTTTAAATTATGTATTAGGTAGCGATTCGTTGTTCTTCGGCATCACTTTTCATCTATGCGGTCAAGTGGAAATTCTAAAGCTAGATTTCAATAGACTAGGCAACGAGAACGAAAGAGCCATGGAACATTTCATCGTATTAATCAAGAGGCATGTCTACTTACTGAACCTGGCCAAAATGCTAAACGAGACGATCAGCTCTATCTTAATCGTGCAACTATTCGCGAGTTGTATACTTATTTGTACAACCGGTGAACATTCTTACCTCACTCGATAAAATGACACGAAGCCTGATGGCAAAAGTTTATTTAAATACGATCAATATGTTGGGATAATTTGCATCTGTTTTTAGGATTTCAATTTATTCTCGATCTGAGCGTTGGGAACATCGTCATGGCGATAAAAACATTTATAGTACTAAGCACTCTGTTGGTGCAATTGTTTGCATACAGCTACGTGGGCGAATATTTAAAGCTTCAAATGGAAGGCGTCGGTGACTCGGTGTATTTCTGCAGTTGGTACGATATACCGACAAGTATAGCAAAAAATATTATTTATGTCATTATGAGAAGTCAAGATCCAGTTTCCTTGAACGCTGGCAAATTCTTCACCGTCAACATGGAAACGTACATGAGTATTCTGAAAACTTCGATGTCGTACCTTTCAGTGCTTCGAGTAATGGTAAATGCTTGAAGTGGTATTAGTCCAATAAAGCACAATACAGTAATAAATATTATACTTTTGATTATTCAATATTCATTTCAAATATTTGAAATCAAATTGATTTGGAGCCGAATGTGCGCAGTAGATCGTCTCAGTAGACTGTTACAATTGATACTTCGCCCAATGACCAATAGATGGTATTGCAGCGTCGTTTGTGTGTAGCGTTCTGGATTGGCTACTCTATCGCATACCTACTTTACCGACATAGGGCAAAGATTTGAGTAGTCTTCAAACTTCGATTTTTAATAACAAATATCTAGAGACTGTTCAACGAAACGAGAAAGTAGACATGAATAAAATGTGACCGCTATGGCTGCAACTATTGTGTTATATAAACACAATGTATTATTTACATTTATATTACTTACTTACAGACTGACGATATCATCGAATAATGAGATCAAATTCGAATAATGATCATTTCGATTAACGATTATCTCCACTGCATGCTGCACTATGTAACAGGTCCGAAATTGTACGGTCAGGTGCTAAGATTTCGATAATTTTAATTTTATTATCAACGCCTTAACACTCGTACCCGTCACACATAGAATGCCACGAAACTATGTATTTTAACGCTTATACAAACATTTTATGAATGCATTATACTATGTGTTATACTTCCACATTCTGAAATTTCATTAATGCTGAAATGAGATTTGATTTTCACGATTATATTGGCAAAGTTTGATGCAAATCTCGTAATATATAGATGCACAAAATATATTTATTTTATGCTTAAGATGACTATCTATGCTGTACTAATATCTTAGTAAATACATGTTTTCAATAAATATCTTGTAATTTCTGCAATCACGCACGTATAACAATCATAACATACACAAATGTTTTCTATGATAAGCATTCATAAGCATTCTATCTTACTTTGTTTCGAACTTTACCAATGTCATCATGATAACGAATGAATTAATGTAAATTGTCTACCTAGCACGATTCTTTCTTTTACATTCCCCGCAATTTCGATAAAAACCTGGCAGCCAAGAGGATTAATAACTCACCCCTTAAATCACTCGTACAGCTGTTGAAGTAACTTCTCTCCAGTTTCGATTGCGTTAAAAAATACGGTAACGTTTAGTTACACAAGCGTGTTATTAACCTTGAAAAACACCATTGAGAGATCAGAATTCTTATTTCCAACTACATCTTGCTTCATGAACTCCGATGCTCGATGCGGAATACAGGATTTTCGCTACGATGCACTAAGCTCTACAATGTCAAAATGTTCTTCTCTATTATCTTTACTGTTGTTCTTTTATCTCGCTTCATTTCTCATGAACAATACACGATATCTATTACGCAATTTGAATACTCGGCTCTACAATGTCACGTAATGTTTTTCTATATTAACTACATTCTTTGATCTCTTTTGATTTCTTGGAGACAACATGACATGTCTGTGACTTCATTCGCCGCTTCCTTAATAATTAATAGTATTCATGTTTGAGAAAACCATAAAGCTTCCGGAAACAGTTGCAACCACAGTCTTCTACCATCTGTTCTACCATCTTATTTCGGTTTGTTTCTCTACATTTTTTGTTGTATGAAAATATAGGTTTGTTCAAACTCTCCTGAGTGCCGTATGCATGAATAATAGATCAAAGAAGAGAACGTATGCACGTAAGTGGGCGTGACTGTCTTCGTGTACGCGCCACGATAAATCATACGTCGAATCGAAATAAACGAAAGTAGTAGAGAGGAGTGTCATTGAGAGGCATACCTCACAGTAAAGTCTGCTTTAAAAAAAATGCGCGAGAAGGTAGCAATCGAGGAGTACGTACGGAATTTTCTAGTGCAGGAGACGTTGTTGAAAGTAGTTGGTATTTGGCCCACGAGAAACGGATCCTCTTTCGGTCGATGGATTTTCGCGATGATGACGCAAGTAAGTTTGAAAACGTAGTAAAGAGCAGGCTTGGGCATTATTTAAATACAGTTGAGCTTCATTTATATGAACTTGTTGGGTACAAATAGTTTATACAATAGGAGTTCGCTGATTCTCTCTACTATCTGTGATTTTTTGTTCACATTCAAATTCGAATTCACGTTCACGTTCAAATTAGTAGATTCAAATAGCGAAACCCTGTCTAATCGGTCATTGATTAAAATTTAATTGGAATAAGTGGGGTTTATCTAAACGAAATTCTACCGAACAATAGAGCGTCGTTTATCGGAACCGGCCGGAGGACAATGCCATACGACTCAAATTAAAACAATTGCAAGAGCGAATGTCATTTCATTATAAAACGAATCGTCTGTATTATTCATAACTTGAATATATTCGAAACAAGAAGCTTGAAATGCAAATTAACATTAAAACGAAACTCACTTTACTTAAAAGAAGCAATTAGGATAGACAATTATTTGAAGACGATTACCTTAACCTTCGCATATGAAATGAAACTACTTTCCTTATGTTGTTTCTACAATAAAAATAATTCATTATTTTTGTATCTTCGTTTAAACAAAAATTTGCCCAAGCATGGTAAATAATCGTCGAATATCAGAGATCGGCTAGATCTTCCTAGGAATCCTTTCCGTAATTAGATCAGTACTATCTACAGCCTGTCTCTGGAAGTTTATCGTCACTGTCTCGACATCGACGACACGATGGATGCGTTCGTCATGGATCTTTCTTCCATCGTCAGCCTCGCGAAACTGTTCATCATGCGCCGGAATTCGAAGCACGCTTACGTTCTTATAAATTCAGTTCTGAAGGACTGGTCGGCTGTTGATGATTCTCGTCATGAAGATATTATGACAAAATACTATAAAAGAGGACGGATCGTTTCATTGACAATACTGTATCTCGGTTATGCCTCTGGATTGTCTTTCATCGTCAAAGCATTGCCCTTTGGAGAGATTCTGCCGTTCAAGGTTCGACTAAATTCCACGTTAGACTGCGGATGTTTATGAAAACTCAGATAGTGAATTTAAATAGAGATTCGTATTATTCACTGTTTGTTACAATAAACACTTTGGATGTTATTATGTTCTTAGACATCATGTGCACTCTGTATAAAAACACAGCCATAAATATTAGGACACCTTCTCGTTGCACGTATTAAGAAATTACAATGAAATTTACTCTATTTCGTATCTTACACGGTAAGACATATTGTATGTATGTAAATACTTGAAAAATAAAAACAACGAAATACATGGAATTTGTAAATATTAGCTAATGTCCTGATACTAATGGCCGCATGATTGTATATTTCGATTGTATATTTGTAATATAGAAGTACATCGTATAAGAGAAATACAAAACTTCAAAACGAAGATTATTTTTTCGCGTAAAACAATCGATTCCTAATTTTTTAACTGTAACGTGCCTTACCTCTCTTCAGATGTTCCAAAACTCGGCGAATTCATCGGCAAATCTAAAAGGTTCCTTGGAAATGAATTATTTCCTGGCAAGCTATTGTGTGTTTGGCTCGCTACCACTGCTCCAGCGGATCTGCGTATTGATATTGCAGGCAATGCACATTTTCGTCAACGCGGTTGCTCATTGCGCCAACGATGGATTATTCTTCAGCTTAACGATGCATCTCTGTGGCCAGTTCGAGGTTCTCAAGATGAATTTTAACAAGTTCGAGCTGCAGCAATTTGGCTGCCACAAAAGGCTTCGATTTCTCGTGAAACGACACTGTCAGCTCCTGATGCTGGCCAATGATCTCGAGCAAACCTTCAATATGATCATTCTCGTACAGCTACTGATGAGCGCCTTGTTAATTTGCGTCGAAGGTAAACATATGCTATTTTTACTTCCTTTTTACCTATTTTCTTCATTTTCCCTGTAATATGAAATTGATAGTATCATATATGACAATCCAATGCACTGTCCACAACAGCAATACCGACGATTAAAATATAAGACCTGTATCAACAAAATCGAATTAGAAGATATACGAAACGATACAAAATTCAAAATGCAAACTCTAATCCACGTATTTTATAAGTAATTAAAAATCCCAACAATGCACCGGTACAGATGTATAAAATTAATATGAAAAATCGCGTCATTTTGATCAAATTCATGTAAAAACAGACCAAAGAGTAATTAATACGTTACTTTGATTATCATATCAGGTTTCGTGTTCCTGGTCTGTCTGGCCACGAGAGACAACGTCGGTGCATTGAAAAGCGTCATTCTGATGGTGACGTTACTTATACAGCTGTACCTTTACGCGTATGCAGGCGACGTTCTCGAGTCTCGATCCAATGAGATAGCGCATGGCGTGTACGATTCGCCTTGGTATCAACCTCGAGGACACGTAGCAAGGGATTTGATGATGATAATCAACCGCGGACACAGGTCGTACCACGTGACAGCTGGGAAATTCCTCTCGATGAACATATTCACATTCAAAGAAATTCTGAGGTCATCAGCTTCCTATTTGTCTGTTCTGAAAGTAATGATGGACACGTGAAAACCATTTGATCGCGAGTGCTATGTATTTCTTTCGCGACCCTCGATACATCTAAGACTCAAACCTTCACAAACATACCTATGCACGAAGCATGCTATAATTAATTAATCATGAGTATACAATGGTTTGGATCAGTGTATGTGAATAAATAAGAATTTTTCCAGAGTGCAATTTTAAGACAAACTGATTACGAACGTCCCATCGTTTGAGTTGAAAATAATCGATTGCAATTTACTCGTTTCAGTTCTTCTACTTTCCTTAGAAGAAAGGGTATCTTCTTACTATAAGAAAATAGATCTTCGTTCTTTCCGTCTTTCCTTACATATCGCTGGAACCCTATTCTGATATTTAGCTATGAAAGTTGAATAGTCTTTGATAATACAGACCAATTTTCAATACGTATGATCTTTTTAAGAATTTATCATATAAGTTGGATATTATCTATAAATACAGATCAATTTTTGAAACGGGTGGTGCTGCTCGATGGAAACCGCGGTGTTACCCGTACAATAGCATAGCAATATAGCATTCACCTACGAAGTAACTCCCCTCTCCCATTACAATTTTCTTGGAAATGTACAGTTGACGTAGAAGTGGTAACTTGCTGGCGGTGGATAATAAAGCAATTACAGAAGAATAAAAGATGAACCAAGAAATAGAAACACAATTCGTAAACATGTGGGAAGAAGGAAAGGTGTTCACGATTGCGTGGAGTTATTTGTCAATCTTCGTCCTGTCAGGATGAAGGTGTCGACGAGTAAGGATTTCGCTTACGCGATGACTCCGTTGAAAATCTTGTCATGGCCTGTAGGTACTTGGCCTCTTCAAGACTACGATGTCTTCTCCGCTATACGCGCCATAATTGCGACTTTTTTTCTGGTATGAAACTCATACTATTATCCTATGCGAAGTTAACATGTGTGTTATCCACACGAGAACAAAAGTGAGTAGACAATTAGGTGGAATTACTAGATCTAGAGTTATACGAAGTTAAATTTTATATATCATAGTATACACAAAGATTATTTAAAAAATAGTTGAAGTGATATTTTCATTTTTACATAATTGAACTGTGTTTTATGAAAATACATACATACATATTTCTATCAACTGACTTTTCTCCGAACGTACTAATGAACTTTCAAAAAGGCCTGCATTGATTCGCACCACTCTTTGTGCTCATTATTGTTCTCTTTCCTGAGAAATAAATATTTCTATAAATCAAGAGTAGAACATTTCCGAAAAATTTAAGGCAAGGAAATTATGCAAACAACAAGGAATTTAAAGATAGACTGAAATAGTCAAAGTTCCTAACTTCGTTGGTCTTTTTACTTTCCAATTTGTGCACTTAATGAATATGGTTTCCGAACAGCTGAAATTGGCACGTTTAAGGATTGTCGTTCTTTTGTAGCTGTTAATGATAACGATCGTGCAATCGGAGATGTACTTAGACAACAGTGATGCCGAGAAAAATCTGGACGGTCTAGTATTCATTACCTGCGGCAGTTTGGCAGCGTCAAAGGTTATACGGTTTCGTATTCGGCCTGCTGCCCTTATTTCGAATTTTACGTCCGCGGTCGAGGATTATCACGAATTGCAGGACGAAGAGAAACGAGTGATAGTGCGAAAACACGCTTATATGGCCAGAGTGACTAGTGTCAGTATGATATTTTTCGCGTATTTCAGCTCGATTCTTTTCATAACTGTGCCTATGCTGGCTGAAGAGGAAGAGAAAGATATACTTAACGTAACGGAGGAAAGTACATCGGACTATCCCATACCTTCCGAAAATGTAATAGCACTTGTAAAAATACCGGAAAATTTATACTTCATTGTTTTCATCATAGAATACTTGATGCTGCTATTCACGAGCACTGGAAATCTAGGTAATGTACCATCGTGTCTTACGAATTACTGGTTGTCAGAAGCCACGCTAGTTAACTCCATAAATTGAAATGTAACGATGAATGATAAGTACGAACATCATTTGTTAAAATGTACTTTGCCATTACAATTGCTTTGCTTTTGACGATAGAAAGAGAAAGCATTAGATGAAACTCGATTGACTTACAGGGGCACGTAATCTGGAATTAATACTTTCTTTCTAGGGGAATGTTATAGCAAACAGTACGTAATATGTGGTCAACTTCATTTTTTTAAATGGAAAGAAATTTTTTGTTTTATTTACATTACACTAAACTGTTAAAACGTGACTCCCGATTTGTATTCGCCATTTCTCTTATCATACTTTGTACGAAAAATGGGCCGCCGACATTAGAATAACTGAAGGTTTAGTCAGGTGTATGTAGCGTGCCCGTAATATATGTTCAATGTGAGTTTACTCCGCGTTGAATGTGTGTTTCGTCTCATGCATGTCCAACACGTGATTAATGTGCATTTAATGTATTCTATGTTCCAAGAATTTGCGCTTTTGTAATGTCGAAGAGAAATTATTCACTTTGGACAATTAAATTAAGAACAGTATGCCAAATGCAATTGACTGGCCTGGCTTCTGAGAGGCTGAAATACCGATACTTGCTCAGGGTAGTCTAAGGATCTTACTCATTTATTTTTAAATATAAATTAGGAAGCGATTCGTTGTTTTTCGGTATCACTTTTCACCTGTGCGGTCAGGTAGAAATTCTGAAACTAGATTTCCAGAGACTGAAAATCGAGAGCGAAAGAACGAGGGAACACTTCAACGTATTAACCAAGAGGCATATCTACTTAATTAACCTGGCCAATATGCTGAACGAGACCATCAGCTCCATCTTGGTTATGCAACTATTCACGAGTTGTATACTTATTTGTACAAGCGGTGAACATTCTTACCTCACTCGATAAAATGACACAAAGCCCGATGGCAAAAGTTTATTTAAATACGATCAATATATTGGAATGATATGCATCTGTTTTTAGGACTTCAGTTCATTCTCGCTCTGAACATGGGAAACATCGTCATGGTTGTAAAAACATTTATAGTACTCAGCACTCTCATGGTACAATTGTTTGCATACAGTTACGTGGGCGAATATTTAAGGCGTCAAATGGAAGGCATAGCTGACTCGATGTATTTCTGCAACTGGTACGATATACCGAAAAGTGTGGCAAAAGATATTATTTATGTCATTATGAGAGCTCAAGAGCCAGTTTTCCTGAGAGCAGGACAATTCCTCGTTGTTAATATGGAAACGTACATGAGTATCATAAAAACGTCTATGTCATATCTTTCAGTTCTTCGAGTTATGGTAAACGCTTGAGGTTGTGTATAATATAAAATGCCAGAGAGTTATATTTATCTAATAAAGCTCAATAAAATATTTAATGTATTAAGTTAATCGAATGTGCGCAACAGATTCTCACTAGGCTGTTATAGTCAATATCTCGTGCAATGACAAATAATGAATTGTGTATATGTATATGTACGTACATATTTAAATACATAATACTGTTAAATTATGGTAGGTGACGTAGGACGATTTGATAACGCACTGAAAACAATAATGGTGCTCCTCGTAAAAGATGAAATATATAACTTATACTACGTTCTATTACATTGAGTAGCCCGGAAATAATTAGCCATAAAGCCAAATATAATTAGTATATTACCTTTATCATCGCATCAAGCTTCTTATTATTGGTCTGCCTGAACACGCATACCATCATCGGTCTTGCACTGAAAGCTGTCGACCTAATGCTGAAGTTGCCTATAAAGCTGCAGCTTTACGTTTACGCAGGCGATACTGTCGAGTCTCTATTTGAACAAATCACGCAAGCCGCTTACAATTCGCACTGGTATGAACTTTGACAAGAGTTAGCAAAGAACCGCGTACTGACAATGAATCACGAAAACACCTGCCAGGCGAAAAATTCCATCAGATGAACACATTCGTGTTCAAAGAGTTACCGAGGATATCAGCTTCCTATAAGAGTGTTGTCAAAGTAATGATGAACACGTGAAGACAATTTGGGAGTGACAGGTACGTATTCCTTTCGCCACCCTCAATACATCCTTCGTACAGGGAAAGTGATTCGACGAGGAGGGGCAACAAAATATTCTCTTTCTCAAAATTCCATAAACGTACCTGCACACAAAGGATGCTATAACATATTACACATAAGTATACAGTGAATTGGATCAGTATATACACATAAGTAAAAAATTTTTCAGAGTGCAATTTCCGGTAACAATCGCACCACTTGCTTGCGTTGAAAATAATCGATTGCAATTTAGACGATTCAGTTCTACCACTTTTCTTATAAGAAACGGTAACCCTCTTACTATAAGAAAATAGATCTTTGCTCTTTACATTTGCTATGAAAGTTGTATATTCTTTGAAAACACGGACTAATTTTCAAGACGAATGGCACTGGATGATAGAAGCAACGTATTAGTTATTAACCGCGCAGAAACATGGCAATAAATTATTTACCTACACAGTAATCCCCACTAGAATTTTCTCGGGAATGTGCCTACTGAACGATAGATAATTGGGCGATTATAGTAGAATAAACGATAAACGGAAACATAGAAATACAATTCGCGAGCATGAGGAAAAAAAGAAAGGGTGCATGTGCACGATTACGCAGTATTATTTGTCGACCTTCGTATTGTGAGCATGAAGGCGGCGTTGAATAAAGATTTCGCTTACGCGATGACTCCGATGAAGATTCTGTCGTGGCCTGTTGGTACCTGGCCTCTTCAAGACTACAATATCTTTTCCGCTTTGCGTGTCATAATCACGAGTTGTCTTTTGGTACGAAATTCTTGCGATTCTGTTTCGATGTTAACACGTACGTATACTCGGAGACAAGAATTGAGCGAACAAAAAAGTGTAACTTGCATTAGTGATATATTTAAATTTTATTTATTATACACCTGTGTGCAAAATTCAAGGAATACCCAATTTTCACCGAAAAGTTGCTGATACTACAAGTGTTATAAAATCGTTACCAGGAAACATGCAGCGATCATTCTATGCTCATTTTAAATCAAAAAAACCACTATTTTTAGAAGTTTCATTCATGTGGTAGACTGAGAATGCGAAGCTGCTTTCTCGTTCCGAAATTCAAAATTCAAATTCAAAAGAATCAGACGTTAAAAAATTTTGTTTAGAGCTAAAATGACGCGCGATAATTTGTGCGATGTTTTATTGTACTTTGAGTATTCAGCTGGTATTGTAATAATAGCAGCTCCTCGTAAGTATTGCACAGTCGGAAATTAAGTGTTTCTTTAATTTTGCATGCCAGTGGATATCATTATAGTACAAAAGTTATTTAATGGGTAATTGAAATAATTGAACATTTTCGTATTGTAAATTTGATTATGCCAAGGAAATTGTGTAAACGATAGCGAATTAAAAAGGAAATTAAAATGTGGTTTCTGAGTAGGTGAAATTGACGCGGTTAAAAATTCTCATTCTTTTATAGCTACTAATGCTAACGATCGTGCAGTCGGAGATGTATTTAGACAGCAACGACGCCGAGAAAAATCTTGACGCATTAGTAATACTATCCTGCGGCATTCTGGCTGTGTCAAAGGTCATTCGTTTTCGTATTCGGCCTGCTGCCCTTATCTTGAATTTTACGTCCGCGGTCGAAGATTATAACGAATTGAGGGACGATGAGAAACGAGTGATAGTGCGAAAACACGCTTATATGGCCAGAGTGACTAGTGTCAGTATGATATTTTTCGCGTATTTCAGCTCGATTCTTTTCATAACTGTGCCAATGCTGGCTGAAAAAGAAGAGAAAAATGTAGTTAACGTAACGGAGGAAAGTACATCAGAGTATCCTATACCTTCCGAAAATGTAATGGCACTTGTAAAAATACCGAAAAATTTATACTTCTTTGTTTTTATCATGGAATACTTGATGCTGCTATTCACGAGCACTGGAAATCTAGGTAAGGTATCATCGTGTCTTACGAATTACTCATTGTCAGAAGCCACGCTAGTTAACTCCATAAATTGCAATGTGGCGATGAATGATAAGTACGAATATCATTTGTTGAAATGTACTTTGCCATTACAATTGTTTTGCTTTTGGCGATAGAAAGAGAAAGTATTATACGAAACTCGATTGACTTATAGAGGCACGTAATCTGGAATTAATACTTTCTTGCTAGGCGAATGTTATAACAAAAAGTACGTAATGTGTGGTCGACTTCATTTCTTTAAATGGAATGAAATTCTTTGTTTTATTTACACTACACTTAATCGTTAAAACGTGACGCTCGATTTATATTCGTAATTTCTCTTGTCACACTTCGTACGAAGAGTTTGCGCTTTTGAAATGTTGATTAGAACTTATTCACTTTGGACAATTAAATTAAGAACTGTATACCAAATGCAGTTGACTGGCTTGGCTTCTGAGAGGATGAAATATCGATACTTGCTCAGGGTAGTTTAAGAATCTTACTCATTTATTTTGAAATATAAATTAGGAAGCGATTCGTTGTTTTTCGGTATCACTTTTCACCTGTGCGGTCAGGTAGAAATACTGAAACTAGATTTCAAGAGACTGAAAATAGGGAGCGAAAGAACGAGGGAACATTTTAACGTATTAACCAGGAGGCATATCTACTTAATTAACCTGGCCAAAATGCTGATCGACACCATCAGCTCTATCTTGGCTATGCAACTATTCACGAGTTGTATACTTATTTGTACAAGCGGTGAACATTCTTACCTCACTCGATAAAATGACTCGAAGCCTGATGGCAAAAGTTTATTTAAATACGATCAATATGTTGGGATAATTTGCATCTATTTTTAGGACTTCAGTTCATTCTCGCTCTGAGCATTGGAAACATCGTCATGGCTGTAAAAACATTTATGGTACTCACCGCTCTCATGGTACAATTGTTTGCATACAGTTACGTGGGTGAATATTTAAGACGTCAAATGGAAGGCATCGGTGACTCGATGTATTTCTGCAACTGGTACGATATACCGAAAAGTGTGGCAAAAGATATTATTTATGTCATTATGAGAGCTCAAGAGCCAGTTTTCCTGAGAGCAGGACAATTCCTCGTTGTTAATATGGAAACGTACACGAGTATCATAAAAACTTCTATGTCATATCTTTCAGTGCTTCGAGTTATGGTAAACGGTTGAGGCTGTATATAATATAGAAACCGAGAGAGTTATATTTATCTAATAAAGCTCAATAAAATACTTAATGTGTTACTTTTTACGATTCAATATTCATTTCAAATATTCAAAATTAAGTTAGTCGTATGTGCGCAATAGATTCTTACTAGGCTGTTATAGTCAATATTTCGTGCAATGACGAATAATGAATTATGTATATGTATATGTACGTACATATTTAAATATATAATAAGGTTAAAATATGGTAGGTGACGTAGGACAATTTGACAACGTACTGACAACAATAATGGTGCTCCTTGTAAAAGATGAAACATATAACTTATACTACTTTCTACTACATTGAGTAGTCCGGAAATAATTAGCCATAAAGCCAAATATAATTAGTATATTACCTTTATCATCACATCAAGCTTCTTATTATTGGTCTGCCTGAACACGCATGCCATCATCGGTCTTGCACTGAAAGCTGTCGACCTAATGCTGAAGTTGCCTATAAAGCTGCAGCTTTACGTTTACGCAGGCGATACTGTCGAGTCTCTATTTGAACAAATCACGCAAGCCGCTTACAATTCGCACTGGTATGAACTTTGACAACAGTTAGCAAAGAACCGCGTACTGACAATGAATCACGGAAACACCTGCCAGTCGAAAAATTCCATCAGATGAACACATTCGTGTTCAAAGAGTTACCGAGGATATCAGCTTCCTATAAGAGTGTTCTCAAAGTAATGATGAACTCGTGAAGACCAGTTGAACGTGAGAGGTACGTATTCCTTTAACCACTCTCGGTACATCGTACAGGAAAAGTGATATTACTGCTATTCGACGATGAAGAGCAACGAAATATTCTCTTACGTAAGACTCAAACTTCCATAAACGTCCCTGCACACGAAGGATGCTATAACATGTTACACATAAGTATACAGTGAATTGGATCAGTATATACACATAAATAAGAAATTTTCCAGAGTGCAATTTCCGGTAACAATCGCACCACTTGCTTGCGTTGAAAATAATCGATTGCAATTTAGACGATTCAGTTCTACCACTTTTCTTATAAGAAACATTACCCTCTTACTATAAGAAAATAGATCTTTGTTCTTTACATTTGCTTACACGTCGTTGTAACCTTTGCCTGGCAGTGTCCGATGAAAGATGAATATCCTACGAAAACACAGATCAATTTTCGAAGCGAACATATAGAATGTATAGCAACAACCTGCTATCAAAGTTGAATATTCTTTGAAAACACGGACTAATTTTCAAGACGAATAGCACTGGACGAAAGAAGCAACGTATTAGTTATTAATCATGCAGAAACATGGCTATGAAGTATTTACCTACAAAGTAATCCCCACTAGAATTTTCTTGGGAATGTGCCTACTGAACGATAGATAATTGGGCGATTATAGTAGAATAAAAGATAAACGGAAACATAG